CAATCACTTGTTTACATGACCACCACATATGGATATAATTTCCCTTTTCCTCCCTGCATTTCCAACATTTAATATCCCTTGATACATCAAATTTAGCTATTTTTGTTGGCGTCATATACCATTGATTAACCAACTTAAAATGTGTTTCTATCAATACAAAGGAGTGGACATATTTGTTAATTTTTTGTGCCATACATAGCCATTCAAATAATTCAATATTTATTTTTAATTCAGTGTTCCATTTTTTAATGGCAGTGGGCAGAACAGAATCATCCATTAAATCCAACAATCTAACACATCTGGAGAACAATTGCTTTGTCTTATTCTGATGTAAGATTGTTTTTAAAATATCATACATCTTACCTTCTTTTACTACCTCTACTTTCTCCAAGTAATGTTTTACTCTATAATAAGTAAAAATATCTTTGTCAGGGAACTTAAATTCCTCAACTAACTTTTTATAAGATTTAATTTTATTTCCTTCAAATAGATCCTCCAAAGTATTTATTCCTTTTTCTTTCCATAATTTTAAGGATATACTCTCCATATTTAATTCTATTATTTCTAAATTTTGAAAGCCAAATATCTTATTTACCAAACCTATTTTTTTCCTTATTTTTTGCCAAATAGGAATAATCTGTCCTAAAATATACGATCTGGATAGATTACGGTTTTTTGTACTCCAGACTACTTCTAATTTACTTCTTAGTTGGCTATAATCTAGTTCCAACCACCACCATACTTCCTCTTTGTTTTGTATCACTTGACTAGCCATAACATGCGTAATAATTCCTGCTTCATAATATTTTCTTATATTTGGAAATCCTAGACCTCCCTTCTTTATTCCTCTTGCTAAAACTCCATTTTTAACTCTAGGTTTTTTTCCTCGCCATACAAAATCCGAAAAAGCCTTATTAATCATTGTCAGCCATGCATTCGGAATTTCTAACGGAAGCATTCTGAACAAGTAAATCCATTTTGGTAGAACATATGATTTCAAAATGTTTATTCTTCCTCCCCAAGATACTTCTAATTTTCTCCATTCTTTCAAATTCTTGTTAGTCTCTTTAAGGAGATCCATAAAATTTATTCTCATAATACTTTCTACCTTTCTGCAAATTTTGATTCCCAAATACAAAAACATTTTGGCTTTAATAAAACCATATGTTTCTTGATAAGAATCTATTTCTTGCTTTGTCATAATTATATATATGGCAGTTGATTTTGTTTTATTTAATTTATAATTTGATACTGCACTATATATATCAATTTCTGACATTGCATTTGTTATTGATCTTGATGATTTCAAAAAAAGAATAGTATCGTCGGCATAAAGGGATATTTTCATTTCTTTCTGTTTTGCTGTAACACCCTTAATCTTTTCATTATTTCTGATTCTGTTAGCTAAAACCTCTAGTGTTAATATAAACAATAAAGGGGATAAAGGACAACCTTGTCTAGTCCCGTTATTCAGTTTGAACCAATCTGAACATATACCAGGGCCAATAGTTCTCGCCTTTAGATCTTTATATAAAGCAAAAATAGCATCGAGCAACCAACCTTGTATACCTAATTCCTCTAAAGTAAACTTCATAAAATCCCAGCTGACCCTGTCAAAGGCTTTTTCAGCATCTAGAGACAGGATCAGCATGGGACTTTTTTCCTTTTGTGAAAAATCTAACGCATTTATCACACGTCTCATATTGTTACTTGACATCCTGTCTGGTACAAAACCTATTTGATCAGGGTGGATTAATTGCTTAATGACTTCTTTTATTCTACCAGCTATAATAGAAGAAAATATCTTGATATCCACATTTATTAATGATATTGGGCGATAACTCTGTACTCTAGTAGGATCTTTCCCAGGTTTCAATATAGGTAAAATATTTGCTTTAAGCATTTCCTCAGGAAATCTGCCCTTTTTAACTGCGGAATTAAAAGTATTTTTTAAATGTTGTATCAAGTGAGGTTGCATAATTTTATAGAATCTATTTCCGAATCCATCTGGACCTGGAGTTTTATAGGTTGACTTTTCAGCCCAAGATACAATAAAAGATAAATGGTGAGAGCACTCTAAATAGAATTGCACATTACCCCTATTGAACACTTTGATCAAACCGTTACAGAAGCACTTTGACCAATCCTGTAAATACAAAACAGGGAAAACACAACATAGGGTGGTAACGTAAAATTTCTGTGTAACTAAAATAATAATTAGTCAAACTCACATGGTCATCAGCCACTTAATAAAAGCTGGCTCAGACTAAAAGGAGTATAAGGTGAATGCACGTGGTTGACAAATGCCAGGCTTCTTTCCCTCTGTGGTCCTTCAAGTTTCTGTTACATTCCGATATTCCAGGATGCAGCATATCAAGTAAACAATTTTATTGGACACACTTTAAAAGATAGCTTGGATAAAAACCAAATAAAACGCGTCAAGTTCGATCAGTTGCACAGTGGACTCTGTAGATATATTTATAAATTCCTATTTATTTGTGAATTGACTCACAAATAGGAACATGTGAGTGTGACTATTTATTATTTTAGTTCCACAGAAATTTTACGTTACCACCCTATCGTGTGTTTTCCCTGTTTTGTATTTACAGGATTGGTCAAAGTGCGCAATAGGGGTAATGTGCAATTCTATTTAGAGTTCTCTCACCATTTATCTTTTATTGTATTTCTCACTTATGTGACTCACATAGGTGACTGCAGCACCCTCTTTCTATCTTTTAACCTTATTCTTTTTTACTATTTCAGCCCATTGCTAAAATCCTTGTCTGGTCTGCTCATATTTGGTGAGCAATCTGAGCAATTAATGCCACTGGAGGGAAGATGTACACCATCTTGAAATTCCAAAGGATTGGGAATCCATCCTGAATTAGAGGGAGATCTTTCATAACGGAAGCAAAATGTTTTACTTTTGCGTTCTGTCTGGTGGCCATAAAGGTTCATCTCTGGTAGACCAAGCCTTCTAACTAGGATCCTGAATGTTTGAGGATGAAGGAACCATTCTGTCTGTAACCAGCATTGCCTGCTCAGATTGTCTGCCACTATGTTGTCTGATCCGTTAATGCAAATTGCTGACATTGACTCTAATTCTACTTGAACCTAATACATGATCTGTGCACGGAGCCTTTAAAAGGGATTTTACCTTTGTACCGCCCTGACGGTTTAGGTAAAAGACAGTAGTGAGATTGTCTCATTGAATCCTCACCAATTTGTTTCTTATCTTAAATCTGAAAGCTAGAAGAGCATTCCATACAGCTTTCATTTCCCTGAAGTTGGAAAGCTGAGTTGCTTCTTTTGGGGACCATGAACCTAGGCGAAAAAGTGATCCCAGATGAGCACCCCAACCTGACTGATGCATCTGTATTGATAGTGATCCAATTTCTTTGCTTGAATGAAAGACCTGTTTTCATGAACCTTGACTGTTTTCACCAGTTCAGTTGATATTTTACTCTGGCTGAAATGTAGATTTCTTTGTCCAGATCTTCTACTCTTTTGGACCATTTTGACAAGATGTCGTGAGCTTACAGCCATAGAAACATGAAGATAAGCATCCTTGAGATCTATTTTTGCCATGTATTCTCCATGCTGAAGAATATGGGTTACTGAAAGGATATTTTCCATAGGGAAACATTGGTATGGAATGTAGGCGTTTACTACCTTGAGATCAAGTATAGGACGAAAACTTTTGTCTGTTTTTTGGACGAGAAAAAGTCGAGAGTATACCCCTTGGAACTCTAAAAAGCATAATTAACACGAGGCATTTTAAAGTAGAGACTTATCTCAACTCAAAAAATCTCACTGCCATGTGGGAGGGCTGGTGACACTGAACTGATACTGGCGACCACCCCTGGTGTCGGTAGGGTTCTGCACAGCTTTATATGCTGATTTCTTTGAATTTCCGTGGTAAAATTCGAAGTTCAGATACGCGCATGCGCATTTGCATGATCGGAACGTCAGTGGAACGCAAGGCCACCTGGCCGTGCCCTACACTGCTGTGTGCAGGCACTTTGCCTGCTTCCAGATTGGAGGGCCGCCCGGGAACGTAACATTTAGTGGAAAGAAGACCTCGCAGCTCACCTCCCGGGGAGCTTCATGTCTGCATCTCCCTGGCGTCATCCTGTGAGCCTCACCAGACTTTGGGGCGTCTTGTCCGTCCTGTCGAAACAAGATGAACTGTGGAGGGGAGGAGGAAGCTGACTTTAATTAGCAAGTGGGCGGGATTATTTTAATTTTTACAGAGCTCCTTGTCCACGTAAGAGGAAACAACCCACTTGTTTCAGTACTGACACGACAGGAAAATGTTATTTTGCATTTTTCCACACAAAAACTGGACTTTCACTAGTGATATAATCGTCACTACATGCTGTAATGCTCTAAATAAACTCATATTTGTGTTTTGTGATGTCTCACGAGTACAACAGTACACTCCATGTATAAGCTTTAAAGGATTTTGGAAAATTACCGGGTCAAATATAGGGCTTGAATATTAAATAATCTGGACTTTCTGCCTCAGTCATCAGGTAGGTCCCTGAATATAAAAATAATACATTCATACATGTGTAGAATTAAATTAGATATTATACTACACTTAGATACATAAATATTTTAATTAAAAATATATATATATATATATATATATATATATATATATCTCAAAATATATTTAGAATGAAATTATGTGCATAAATATAACGTAATTTAAAGTGTGTATTTATTTTAAAATAATTAAGTGCTTTTACTAATTATGTTGGTAGATCTGCCTGACAACAGAGGTACACCCTATCAGTGTTAAACGGTTAATTATAAGTCTTTATAATATTATAATAACAGCGCTTGCACAATATTTGTTATAAATCGTGGAATATAAGTTTTGTTTCATATGAAAACATTGCCAAATAACTTGACCTAGCATACTTACCGATCACTATATCATGTTCTGGATGCTTTTCAATGATTTCTTTTATCTGATCGGTTGCTTCCTGACGAGAGGGGAGCAGTATAAAAGGGTCGCAGTTTGTATTGTCCAAATACAAAACATCAATGATGCTTTTGTCTTTTAGTGGTGGACAATCCAGCATAGATGGGCTATAGCGGAAATCACCTATACAGGAGATTTAATTGCTGTCGGTTATATATAGTGTACTACAAAAACAATTCAAGATGAAAAACAGAGCTTGCTGTTACTATCATCACTATCACAATAAATTGACAGACATACTGTGTGCATGCACGGTAGGTGATGGTAGAGTGAAAACAGTGTGGGGGGGGGAGGGGAAGTATAGAATGAGTGCATAAGAATAGGGAAGAGTGGTGAACAAATGGGAGAAGAAAGTAAGATTATGAACTCCTATTTTGATTTCCATAGGTATTAGGAAAACTAAGTTATGGAAATCGAAGTTGTCAGATATCTAACATTCACTTAACTTGTGTAGGGCATTTACCTGTGTATAGTATTGTACCAAAATAACCCTCAAATAGAAACATAACAGAGCCTGGGCAATGATTGGCATCGATTAATGTAACAGTAACGGTTTCTTTCCCAATGTCATCCAAAGGCAGCATATGACACTGTCCAACTTCCAAAGGCTTGATCCATCTACTTTTAACCTGCGAGACGGCAAGATATGATTCGTCAAAACCTGTAAGCATAAATGTATTTTTGCTATACTTTTAAATTGTTGCACAAAGTGCATTTGACAGATATGCACCTAATATAGAAGAATGTAGAACATCAAAACAGGAAGAGAAAAACAAACAAACCCCATGATAGGGAGATGTAAAAAGCATAGGAAATAAGAGCGAAAGGAAAAACGTATAAAGTAATGAGCCCCAGGATTTTCTCCTACCTGCAGCTTATGTTTGAGGACCTTTGCAGTGACTGGTGAACAGTACACAGGATGCTTCCAGGTAGAAGACAATCCCACAGTATGGTCACTGTGCATATGGGACAGGAAGAAGAGTCGGACATGATTGCACCTCCTGCTCTGCCAGAAATCCACAGCAATGGGGGTCTCTGGGATTATTGTACCATTCATCTTACGTATCTGGCAGCTAAATGAAACATAAAATACAAATTCTGGAATTCCACTTTCTTTATATTGTTTCAGTCACTGTATTTCAATGTAGATTTCAATGCATATTGACGTTTGAAATGCAAAAGGCACCCACAATTCATTATTAACACCAGAGGCTGGTTGTAGCCCCAGTTCAGGGTTGTGAAAAAAAATAAAATCTACTTGCCACAGGAACTAAAATAGTAGCCCAATCTGCTTACCCAAACAAAATAATTTACGTTTGGGGAACCTGCTTAGATCCCTGGATCTTGACATGGTTACTCATCAAACTCTGCATTTGTGTGAAAAAGCTGAGCTATATTCACAAGCTTTGTACTCAGTTTTTTTTTCTATTTAGATTTAATTTGTTAAAATTCTGAGTTTAGCGAATAACCCCCACCCACCCTCACCTCCATGGGATGGGGGCGGGGGTGGGTTCCAATTTAGTCCATCTTATTTTTTGCCAATACTGAGTAAAACCTTGTTCAGTTCTTCACCTTTTCCAGTTTATTGAATCAACCCCAGTTTGGACATGATTTAATGTTTATATCACCCCTTAAACAACACCCTCCATATGTAATTTAAAGCAGTCTTTGCCTAGCCAGAACACCCTACACACACTTCCTTGTACCAATCTGGAATGTCTCAGGCTCTGCACATGGTATCACAGGCTCAGAGCGGCGCTCGTTTAATCCTGTCTGGCAGGCAGGATCATTGTGCGGAGTTCGGCTACTCCTGTCTTACCAACACGGAAGTGCTGCAGCAGACCAGGTTTTCCAGGTAAGGGGTCAGAAACCCACCAGGATACCAATACTGTGTGACCTGGGCCAGGGTGCCGTGAGAGAGGTGGGGTCAGGAGGGGTGGAGCTCAAAGGACCTTCCCGCTTAGATATTAACCAGTTAGGCGCCAGCATGTGGGAGTGGAGCTCTGTGATGATGTGTTAGTGGGAGGATAGTGTGGTGGCTGAGAGTGATTGGGAGTGGTGAAGACTGATGTTCTCAGGGGAGGGAGGACGAGGCTATGTAGTGCAGGAAATCAGGAAATTAGATGTCCATACCGGTTAGCTTTGATAGAAATGCATTGCTTTGCTGACTGATTGTACATATGAAATGGGCCATCATAGCATGGATTGGTACTGGATGATAGGAGCTGCAGTCCTACACACATATGGCATGCAACCTATGGCATCCTTTTGGCATTTTGTTTTGTCAAAAAGAAATTCATCCCATCTACTTTGATTAAAGGGACAATACTATCAAACAACAAATGGAGCAAAATTCTGTGTTATTATTTATTATTATTATGATATGTAGAAGCCCTATTTAGCAGGGTCAGTCCCTATTTTGGGTCCAAATTCCTCTGACCTTTTTTTTTCTCTCTATCCTAATATCCCTCTTTCCTAGGAGCTCCATATTGTTAGTTTGTCTTAGTAAAAAAAATAGAGCCCCCACAGCTATTATGCTCACAGTAATGTGTCTTATTCCCGTTGGCGCCGTTAGGACATGTCATTATGTCCGGACAGATGTGGGCTTTAACAACTTTACGGTGTAATGACACGTCCTAACATTTGTGCCCCCGCAACCGTCCCCCTGAATCATATTGACCATGCTGGATCAGATCGGGAGGACTGCCTGGCAATCCAGGCAGCCCCCTAAAAGCCATAAAGTTGCGATCGCAGTGACAGTTTCACAGCAATAATTTGTTTCATGGCCTGTGACATTATTTTCAGCCTCTCTCTTTCCCTACTTTGATCTAAAGGTGAGAGAGGCAGACAGATCATTGCTGGCAGTGTTACATAATTTTACTGCGTGTTTAAAAATAAAAATAAATGCTCTATTTAACTCCTTTACTGCTGATCACAGGCTAATACTGTGATCAGTACACTAATACTGTTTGTTTTTTGTCTGCTTGTCAGATTTTTTGGTTACACCTTGACTCTTTTTTTCTTAATTTAACCCTTACTAGTTTAAGAAAAAGAACTAATCTTTTAATGTTGATCGCAGTGTTTTATAGTCCTTTTCTTTTTTGTTTTTGGAAACTGTTGGTGGAAATGGGAATTGGGGTGTGGGCTGAGTATTTGTGTGTTGGGCAGGTAGAAAAAAAACATTTGACCCCTTAAAACGTTGCCATTGCCTAGTAATACACAAAAGTGCAGCACAAGGGGGCGGAGCCTGACACTTGAAGAGCACGGATGCCATTCTCCTGAGCTCCAGCGACTGGAGCACAAAACTGCTAAAAATCGTGATTTTCAGAGAAAAGCTGGGAAAGAGACAACATACCTTCTCTCCCTGAAGAACTGGGCTACCGGCACATGCCTTTCCTGTACAATCCGACAGGCAGAACTCACCGATGATTGGTGACCTACCTTGCCGTCCCACCTGCTAAGGCCTTCATACTCGACTGGGCGCCTGTCCTGGAGGCGTTGGGCCCTCCCCAGCTGCCTGGCAAAAATCAACTACGGAGCACTGACAAAATGGGCCGGCGATCCCAAAAACCACAAGCGGGTGGGAATAAAAACACTCATGATATTGTGGACCTGGAACCCGCAACACTCATGGCACTCTCTGCAACATCGTAGGAAGTGGACGCGGAATCTCTACACGAAAAATGATATCCGCAATATCATGTTGGAAATGAGACAGATGTTCGCAGCTGATGTGGACCTGCTACGCGCGGAAGTTCAGGCAGTGACAGCCCGGATACAGGCCTCCGAGGAGGATTTCACGGACGTGAGACAGGAGGTACAGGGTCCCAAAACTCTATGCAGCAAACTGCACACCTCCCACGCTATGATGCTCACTAGGCTAGATCTTGCAGAAGATCGCAACCGGAGAGTTGATCTAAAGATAAAAAGGGTCCCTGACGACATCAGCCCGGTGGAACTACCCCACTACCTCCGGTGCCTGTTAACCACTATCTTGCTGCACGCACAGGCCAAAAAGCTAACGTTTGATACCTGCTTTCGGGTCAACAAGCCTGCACAGGCACCATCTAGAGCCACCCGATCTCCGACAAAAAACGCATAATGACAGCGGTGAGAAACCAACTCCGCTCGACTTCGTCATCCCGTATCACATTCTTACAGGATTTAACCAGAAACACACTGCAATGGAGAAGGTCCTTAGGCCCGATCACCAATCAACTACTTACAGCTGGAGTGGAGTATAGATGGGGCATACCTAGCACTCTGATGGTGGTTAAAAATGGTGCCATACTTCAAATCACCTCTCTGACACAAGCTGCCTCCTTTCTGCAAGCTCTGGGACTCCCACCGCAACTGGCGACCACAGCGGAACCCACCAAGCAACATACGTGGGACCCTGCAAAGACTGTCCCGTTCGCACCACGTAGAGGAGAAAGGCTAAGGGCACCTTACTGAATGCCCATATAATATCATTGTGACAGATCACCCTGTCCCTGGATTGTAACTCCCTTTATTTCATTCCCCTATGAGTTCGGGACATTGCCTTCTCCTTAATTTTATTTTTAATTCATTCTCCTACCGAACAAACTACCGAATGACCAGACCAACCATATATGGCGTGTGCCACTCATTAACCTCTATCACTTCTTTAACACTTCTAAAACCGCAAGCGTTCTAAGCAGTTGGCTGGGTGGTCGTCGTTCGGTATACGAACATGTCCCGGCGGCCATCTTTAGCTGTGTTTGGTTGTCGAGTGCATGGAACTATAATCGGACACTCAATGGCGTGAACACCGCTGGGACTTCCATAGCTACTTATGTTCGGCTGGATTCGTATGAGAAGAGCAGCACTCGGTGGGAACAAGCTCCCGAACCAGAAATATAGACTGAGCAGACCCACGAACCAGTACATTCGGTATTTTGAGTGTATTTATTATGTATTCCTGAAAGAGACCGACTACACAACCTGATTTCATGGAACTCTTTTGGGCAGGAGCCTCGTGTGCGGTTGGTCAAAATGTGACTTCCATAAAATCTCGAACCCCTGAACCGATCTGGTGGTTTTTGGATATGTTGGTCCCCCAGATCGGGGCTATCAGGTGATATAACTTTTGCGGGTTTTCCATGGGTTTTGAGGGTACTTTCGGGGTAATGCTAAAATATATGTTCTCTGGGTCTGGGGATAATTGAGTTAATACAGTATATGACTCAATTATCTTCCAGGCACAGGGGAGAGATTATCTTATTCTGTATGGGAGTGTCCTGGACCTGAGAGCCAATGTAACTGTGTATTTGTTTCTACTGTAGTCTATTCCGTAGAGGGGAGTGCCACATGCATGGGGATTGACATAAAAGAAGGGGGAAAATAACTTCTCCGGTGACGGAACCCCTCTTCCCATCGGGGTGGCCGCCACAATCATAATATCAGGGCATGCCCTAGCTTTTTCCTCTTATGCCACTAAATTTAGGAGGCATAGGAGTTGTTTCTTCCCAAACCTATTCCTATACAAAATTGTGCAAAAGAGTTTACCTTTTAAGGTTCCTAAAATCTATTGCACTTGCATTCACTCCATAGCTTGAGTACAGTTACTCAGTAAATTGACACCAAATGGATTATATATAAAAAATTTATATACAAGTGTCTTCTGATACACAATTTTTTTATGCATTAACCTGTTTTGGTTATTTTTATCTTTTTTTGTTTCCTGATTATTTTACCATTGGTTGCATTCCCAAAATGAGACAAGAGCTTAATATTACTAGGAAATAAAGGATGCATTTGCCACCTCAAGGAAATTTGTATTCCATAAACAAAAGGAAGACCTGTCTCAGAAAATTAAAATAACACTTCACTGAATTTTTTTTCCCTCGATAATTTAGTTGATATACCCCTAGAGAATACCTGCATGTATTTTTGTTAGTATGTTTTCTTTGGTGGTATATAAAAAAAAAAGCTTACAAAAGTTGCATAGCAGATGTCTGCAGCCTTCGCCAGCCTTTCTTTCCCAGACTCAGACAGGGAATACTCCAATCAGAGGCTTTCCTATACGGGTTTCCTAAGCTTCTCAGTGAACTGCTCATTGAAAAGGGGGAGGCAGCCATGCTCTAACTTAGCGCGCCTAACACTGTTGGAAGCATCAGAAAATCTTGCTGGATGTCTGAGTTACAGCCACGGAGGTGTTTCAGCCCCCGGTTTTAAAAGTGCAGATATCTATTGAGATTCAAACTTGTCTAAAATTGTCACAAAAATCACAGATTCCAGACACTTAAAGCACTTCAGCTTGCTGAAGTACCTTATGTGTTTTTTGTGTTCATTTAATCACTATGTGGTATACATTTTGTCAAACAAAGTCTCACTCTTGCACTGCTGTTTTAGACATCAACAGCGCCACCATTTAAATTGTCAAAAAAGAGGCACAGGGCAAAACTTTTGGGAAAGGTGTAAACAGGAAAAATGTCACGCAGGCAAAAGAAAATATCGGAAATTGCAACAGAATTTTGGTCTGATAACAGCCAAGCCACTTTTAAAACATTTTTAAAGCTCCCATGAGCTTATGCACAGCATGGCCCACAGTTTTGTGAATCAGGCTTTGTGTTGTGGCTTGTATTGTGTTGTTCAGAGCCTCCATCTACATGTGTCTTTGCTTTCTATCTAGGTAGGAAACAAAAAGAATTACCCCTACTTGTGCATGTGGCATGCAATTTGTAAAAAAAATGATATGGACAGCCCATAACATAGAGTTCTGCTTTCCTGCTTTTAAAGTTTTTCATTGCAAACCCAAGCTAAATTTAAAGTAAGTGACTAACCCCATTGTCTGTCTGGCATATCTCTCAGTTTAGTGGTTCAGGACCTAGATTTGTTTAACCACTAAACTGAGAACTGTCTGCTTTCGCACCTTCAGTGTTCATTTTTTGTTGACTAACAATTTTAGTCAAATTTTAGTCGTCTAAAATTTTTGAGATTTAGTTGACTAAACTAGACTAAAACTAAAACAATTCAGATGACTAAAATACGACTAAAACTAAAATGGCTTTTTAGTCAAAAGACTATGACTGACTAAAGCTAAATTGAAATTTTCTTGCCAAAATTAACACTGCGCACCTTCCAGCATTTCAGACTGCATCTGGCTGGAAGGTCTGCTTGGTTTAAACAGATAAATACTACTTTCTAAATACAGTTTCTAGCGTTTAACCCCTTAAGGATGGAGGCAATTGTACACTTTCATATTACCCCCACTTATTATATATAATTTTGTTCAGGAGAAACAGGGCTTTCATTTCACATACATTGTTTTAATCTGAAACATAATGTTATATGAATAAAAACAAAAAAAAAGTGTGAGATATTAAGAAATGTTATTTTCTTAGTTCTGCGCTGCATTTTAACTGTGAATGTCCTAATACTGTTAGCTTTCACTGCAACAAAATACACATATTTGTGTTGAGCTATGTCTCACAAGTACAAGAGTTGCCTTTGAGACCGTATGGCAGCCCAGGAAGGAATTACCCCGATCATGACATACCATTTGAAGAATTAGACAACACATGGTATTCAAAATGGAGTATGTACTTTCTTTTTAGTAGTCACAAACCCTGGCCAAAGTTAAAAACGTAATGTTTATATTTGTTTTTTGCATTTGTAACACAAAAAAAGTATGTTTACTGTTTTAAAACAATCATATCATGATCCTAGAGCTCCCGATAATAACAGCTAAAACCGGCAATACTGCCTATATCACTGGAACTGTTTTGGGAGACCCCCCTTGTCACCAAGAATAAGATGGGACGCAAAATCAAAAAGCTCAGACCAGACAAGCCCATTCCGGGGCTTACAATCAGCAATCTGTGGTGGCAAGCACATGGTGCAACTGGGCTCAAGATGGCCACCATCTCGGGAGGCTGCTCAGATTTTTCCAACGACAACTCATTTGGAGCCGAAGAGGAGTACCCACTGGCACCAGACAGACCCCAACGGAGAGAAGAGGGCCCAGACACAGTCTGGTGACAAAATCAATACTACAGGAGATGCTGGCCAAACTCCAGCGAAATATCTCGGCGGACATAACAACAATCCGCAGGGACCTCCTGGGCCTTACAGGCCGCGTTGGGACGCTTGAAGTCACTACAACCAAGAGCGCCCAACACATAAAGTTGCTCCAGCAAGCAGTGCAGGAACTACAGAACCAAAACCAGCTCCATGAGCGCCGGTTCGCTGCCCAGGAAGACTCCAGGTGCGTGCACTATCGGAGGAGTTCCCTGACGCGGAACTGCCACACTTGGTGAGGCGCTTGGTGGGGACCTTACTACAACCCCGACAGGCTAAAGCAGTGGTGATAGAAGGACAATTCTGCATGCCCAAAACCCCAAACACACCCTCCAGGGAGCTGGTGGTCCGCTTCAGAAACGGATTAGAAAAAAACAATGGTCCTGGCGGCACTAAGGGGAAACTCACCTTACCACTTCAAGAATATGCCCCTCACCTTCTACGCTGACCTCTTGGGAGGTACCTTAGCTTGGAGGAACTCGCTCAGGTCGGTCACCACGTTCCTGCAACGGAACAATACCCACTATCAATGGAAGCTCTCCCGCACATTAATAGTGCATCAAGGGGACACTCGACATGCTATTCACAACCTTCAAGAGGCTTCCGGACTGTTGCCAACCCTTGGAATACCTCTAGATGCACTCAATCGAGACAAACAGTCTGCGACACCTCAACACTCTCACTCCTGGGACCCTGCGAGCATCCCCCCTTTTGTCCCACAACAGCACATCTCTGATTCGTATGCAGCTACCACCACTTATTTACTGTACGCTAACATGTTTTGATTTGTGTTCCCTTTATTTTAACGTTTTAACAAACCCACACTGTTAAATGTTTACTTACTTAGTGTTGCACACCGACGACCCCGAGCAGCGGTATTACTGTCCAATCACATACAGACCGATGGGTCATAGACCGATCGCTCCAGGTCCTATCAGTCACACACAGAACCTCGGGTAGGGCAGTTGAGGTGCACTCTTGGCTCCCTCGACTGGTAAATCCAGGACACGCTTCAACAGCACCACTGTCTTTATACTCCAAGGAGCATACACATATGACTCCTAGCCCAATACTAAACAAAGAAGGAGTTCCCTAGACATAATATACCCTGATAGAGACCTAGTCCAACATATATGGCGAGCCCCTTAACTCGGAGGGACAGGTCCGGAGGTAGGGTTGCTCCCTAGGAAGAGCTCCACACTTCCCTATTAGCAATCTCTCCAGCAACATAACATTACTTACCAGTTTAGCCGATCTGAAGTACACGACCCAACAGGCGGTGCTTCCTTGCCTGAAAGTGTTACACTACAAAACCCCCTACCCCTTAGCTAGATAAAAAGCAAGATTCAAATACTTTTATCATTTAAACAAGATAGTCTATTAGAGACTTGGGTACCTTTTGACTCCGGAAGAGGCTGACCCTCACACTGCATTTATGTTCTACCTAGGTTATTTTTATGTGATCTTAACGTTGTTTTTCTTTCTATACAAACTTTTGTCATGGGAATGATTGTATAATTGGTTACCTTGCCAAGATATTTCCATGATGCTTACTGTACAGCTTGCAATGTTAGAAACAGCGCAGCATATTAGTTTGCATTTAGCATGCCGAGCCTGTCCTCTAACTGCATCACCTGCTTTAACCTCGCAGGCCAAGCGAGCTGAACGAGCATTTTTACTTTTCTTTATTTAATTTTCTTCTCAGCCACAAGATGCCCCTATTATCTTAATCTGTGAGCCTTACTTGATCTAATGAAAAAGTGAAGCTTAAAGGACCACTTTAGTGCCAGGAAAACAAACTTGTTTTCCTGGCTCTATAGGGTCTTTAGGTCCCCCCCACCCTCAGGCTCCCTCTTCCGCCAGGCTGAAGGGGGAGGAAGGGGTTAAATGCTTACCTTTCTCGGCGCTGGGTACTCTCCTCCCTCTTCCGACGTCATCCTCCGAATGCGCATGCGCGGCAAAAGCCGCGCGCGCATTCAATCAGTCCATTGGAAAGCATTTCTCAATGCTTTCCTATGGACGTCAGCGCACAGTGAGAAGCGCGGAAGCGCCTCTAGCGGCTTTCAATGAGACAGCCACTAGAGGCAGGATTAACCCTATTGTAAACATAGCACTGCTATGTTTACAGCTGCAGGGTTAACCCTAGATGGACCTGGCACCCAGACCACTTCATTGAGCTGAAGTGGTCTGGGTGCCTATAGTGGTCCATTATTATTTCCAAGGAGGCGAACTCCTATTATGCTAACCGCTTAGCGGGTGAGCTATCACACCAGTAAGTACACTAGTATGTGCTTTCACTACTGCAAGGGATTCTGGGTAGGCATATGCAAATGAGCTCAACAAAGAACATAATTTTGCCTCATAATCCACTTCATACATGGATTCCTTTGAGTATGTCTGCTGTATACAACAGCTTTGAAACACAACTCCGGAAGAGGCGCAAAGCCAGTGAACCACTCATGGACAGCTGTTTCATTGTTAATGCAAATCACCAGCATGAGGTTGGTTACTGGCTTGCTATGGAGGCTTGGCGTTACTTGTAAAGTACATATCAAAAGAGTTGTGGTTGGGGAAAAAAGTGTGGATGAAAACCCCTTCCAACTGAAGTAAGTGGATAGTTAATACATCACTAAACACAAATACACACACCAGTCAAGCCATAAGACTTGCTTTTCCCACAGGCTGATGAGTTGCATTAACAATGAAACAGCTGTCCATGAGTGGTTCACTAGCTTTGCTCCTCAGACACAGACTCCAAGGAATCCATGTATAAAGTGGAATTATGAGGAAAAATGTGGTTCTTTGTTGAGCTCATTTGCATACGCCCACCCAGAATCCCTTGCAGTAGTAAGAGCACTGTTAAATTGAAATTTCTGTGGGAAAAGGAAGTCTTATGGCTTGACTGGTGTGTGTATTTGTGTTTAGCAATGCATTATATATATATATATATATATATATATATATATCTCACAGACACACATTTAAAGTCTACCTGTACATTTATGTAAGTATATACGTATATATATAAAAAATTATTTTCTCACCCCTCCTGGGTGGTATGTTTATTCCTCATTCTTGGGTCCTCTACTAGAGGCCTGGGAGAACTGCACTCTTCTGACAGCATTCTTAGGTGTTCCTGGTATCTGTTGAAGCCACTTCCCCAACTTAGGAGTCACAGACCTGAGTACTCCTGTCACAACTGGGACTACTACTGCCTTTACTTTCCACATCCTTTCTAGCTCTTCTTTCAGTATTTGGTATTTGTCCATCTTCTCATGTTCATTCTTCCTGATGTTATACACTGGGTATTTCCACATCCACCACAACTGCAGTCGTCCATTCCGTGAAATGTGGCATATACCAAGGTGATGCACTATCTCCGATGCTGTTCTGACTAGGCCTCAACACCCTTAGCCATATCATCAAGAAGAGTGGATATGGAGACAGGTTCGAGAGTGGGGCCACCATCAGCCATCTACACTACATTGACAACATCAGGCTGTATGCCAAGAATAAGCAAGACATTGACTCACTGCCCCACCTAACCAAGATATACAGCAAGGACATCAGAATGTTGTTCAGACTAGAGAAGTGTGGGCGGATGATAACAAAAAGAGGGAAGATGATCAGGACAGAAGGAGTTCAAGTATCAGAAAGCCAAATAAAAGATGTAGAGAGCATCTACAAATGCCCGGGAGTACCACAAACACATGGCAACCATGAGGAAGAGGCAAGGTACTTCCAACGAGTCAGACAGGCACTGAAGTCCCAGCTCAATGGTAAGAACAAGATCCAAGCAATCAACACATATGTCATGCCAGTCATCAGGTACCCATCTGGAAAAATAACCTGGCCAAAGAAAAACTGCTCACCATGGATGTCAAGACCAGGAAACTACTCACTATGAACAGAGGATTCCACCTGAAATCCAGCAACCAGAGACTGTACACCAGCCGGAAGGAAGAAGGTTGGGGTCTGATGAGTGTCAAGGCCACAGTCCTTGATGAAACACAGAGCATCCATAAGTACATGATGAAGATGGCTCCCAAAGATGAATTGCTAGGGGAATGCCTGAGACAACGACAGCTAGAAGATGCAGAAAAAGGAGGTCCCATGGCAAGACAAACCTCTCTATGGGGTGTATCACTGGCAGATAGTGGATGTGGTTCACATGACAAAATCCTACTAGTGGTTGGAAAAGGTAGGACTGAAAGACAGCACTGAGGCACTAATCCTAGCAGAACAGGAAAACCCACTCAGCATCAGATCAATTGAAGAGGGGGTGTCTACCACACCAACCAAGACCCAAGGTGCAGACTGTGCAAAGAGGCCTCTGAGACAATCCAGCACATAGTAGCTGGATGCAAGATGTTAGCAGGAACAGCATACATGGAGAGACACAACCAAATTGCTGGGATTATGTACCGAAACATCTATACAGAATATAGGCTGGACCTGCCTAAGTCCAGATGGGAGATACCACAAAGGTAAATTTAGAATGACAAGACTAAGATCCTGGGGGAATTCCAGGTACAGACAAGCAAGTGCTGGCCAACCTGACATCATGGTGGTAGAAATGTTCACGTGTATTATTGTCCTGGAATTGGCTTCTAGAGTTGTTTTTCCCTTGTCTACCGAGTTCTTGAAGAAAACTCTTATTGTCTTGTTGACCTTGTATATACCCAAGCATTCCAGTATCCATGTGTGTGGCATTGTGTCATAGGCTTTCTTGTAGTCAATCTAGGCTGTGCACAGATTGGTCTGTCTGGTCTTAGAATCCCTTGTGACTACTTGGTTTACCAGTAGTTGAGTAGTTGACCCTCTGGTGTTGTTTCCAATCCCCATCAATTTTGGAGGCTATGATGCCTGACAGGAGCTTCCAAGTTGTGGGGAGGCAGGTAATTGGTTGGTAGTTGGATGGTGTTGTACCCTTATGAGTATCCTTCATGACCAGCATTGTTCTGCCTTGTGTTAGCCAGTCAGGGTGGGAGCCTGTTGCTAGTAGCTGCTTCATTTGAGCTGCTAGGCGTTCATGCAGCGTTATTAACTTCTTTATCCAGTAGGTGTGGATCATGTCAGCTCCTGGGGCTGACTAATTCTTCATGTGTGCTACTCGTTGTTGGATATCTTTGACTGTGATGGTGACTGGTTCCTGTTCTGGCAGCATGAAGTGGTCTACTTTCAGATCTAGTAGCCACTGGGCCCCGGTGTTATGAGATGCTTCTTTCTCCCAGATATTATTTATTTATTTTTTATTGCCATTTATATAGCGCCAACAGATTCCGTAGTGGTTTACAATATTCTTCCAGTACTGTTCAGTCTCTGTTCTGGTGGGTCTTGGGTGGCGATGTGGTGGCTATTCTGCTGCTGTGCATACACCTTGAATGGTTCTTTGGTAAAGAGGACATTGATTCTCTTAGCCTCTGCTTCTATAATGTATCTGCTCAGTCTGGTTGCCACTGCTGTCAGTCTTTGCTTAGCACTTTTCAGCGCCTCTGGTGTGGGCATATCCTTGTACTCCCGCAGTAGCCAGGATCTATCCTTGATCTTTTCACCTATGTGAAGTTGATCCAGCTTACTAGTCTCCTTCCATGTTATCTTTATCTTCGCTTCTAGTCGTAGTCTCGATGGTGGGCATTGCTTCTCTTTGAGCCTGATCTTGTAGTCAAGCAGCTGGAGGACCATTAATGCTGTGGCATATATAAGCCTGTTGGTGTTTGTGATGGTGCAGATTGGGATTGTGGACAGTGCACCGTTTACTGCAGCTAGCATGCTGCCTGGTGGCAGTTTTCCAGTGATCTTTGGTAGTCTTGTCCGCTGATTTTTCCATGATCATTTTTTTTTTTAATATCTGTTATGTTATCTTGGGGCAGGGATTCAGGTTGGCAATTCTCTGCACGTTTCATGTAGCCCCTCTTATTGAGTCTGCTGTTGTAGTAGCATTGAAGCAGGTCTAGGTTCTCGCTTTCCTGTCCAGGAATGATTTGTTCCAGTAGCCCCAGTATATATATATTTGTTTGCATATGTATAATTTCATACATAATACTGAGAAGGTAAGTATCTTGAGAGCTCCAGGGCTCTAAGCCATTACAGCGTTGATGCATTTATACGTTTTGGATATTTCTGTGAATTATGTTGTTTTGGAGTTCAGTGATCCACTCATACACACCCCACATTACCATATTCCCAAAGTTAGAAGCACTGCAAGCAGCACAGGATTGAGTTAGATTAGAAAGGTCATGTCAATGTTAACAATGCACATCACTAATGATGCAATTAGCGTAGGCCATCCTTTGAAATTGGCATAACAGCAAGGCATGCATGTGTGCAAACCTGGATGGCAGCTGTGCTGGCCATTTGGCCATCAGGGTAAGCCATGAGCTGTGCACTTCTGAGGTTTGTGGTGTGTGCATTACTGTTGGTTTATTGTTATGGTCTGTCATATACAATGAGTATTGGTGATACTGTTTGGCACCCGCAGTTCTTATGATATGATATGCTATTCAAAAGCAGGAGTTCATACTTCTGCATTAGCATATCAATGTGTACCAACTTTGGATATTATTTATTGGTTGAGAATATTAGCTGAGAAAGCTCTTTGTCACTGAATAATATCCAATGTTGATATGCTAATAAAGAAATATAACTGTATACCTTGGTAAGTGTCAAACCGTTTGTAAATGGTTTGGCAGCTTGGACTGGGATGGAACCATGGGCTGGGGGCATCATAACCACTACAGCAAACTGTAGTGTTTTAGATTCTTATATGGTGCATTTTAGGGTTAATGCCTCTCTGTTTTTTATTTTCTGTTAAAAAATTTTTAAAATGTATGTCATTTTATGCATTTCACTTTTCAGTGTTTCAACATTCACTGCCTTGGCGAAGAGTTATACATTTCCTTACAATGCCATACCTGGGTTCAGAAGATGCTGTCAAAGACCTGAAGAGAGCCCTTTCCAATACACACATCCAGGCAGATAGACTGAGATACAGGAATGTCATTCACAAAGTTATACGGTAAGGAACATCCTATTTATGTCACAATGTTGATAATAATTTGCAATTGGCTTTAGACTGATTTGCTTTTAATAAATGGCTATTTTGTAAAGATATGTACATTTTCCACTTGGGAAAATGTTATAAAGAAAACTGCATTTTGGTAGCCAAAGCTGCTGATTTCTGTTAAAAGTTTTTCATGTCAGCATTGTAGTAATTGGAGCGCAACTTGCTAAATCATAAAGCAATTTGTGGAGCACAGGCTGCTTGATTAGTATATCAGCTGACCCTTTACAGCAGACATAGGAAACCTTTGGTGCTCCGGATGTGCTCCCATAATACTGTTACAGCCGTAATGCCGACAAGGCATCAGGGGAGATGTAGTCCACAATATTTGGAGTGCTGAAGGTTGCCTCCCCCCGCTTTACAGTGTCCCTTTAATCCACCTCTTGCTTGTGTCAATCAGCCAACTGGGAATGAGAGTTCCGTTTAGACTTGGCAATTTTATACATGTTTTGCATGCAGTGTCTGCAAGCACACCTTGGGCTGAGTTCTCACTACTTCCAAGAGAGAGCCAAGCTGCAGACCATGCACAGGCAGACTGAACCGAGCGCTGTGTAAATTAATAGTGGAATTGCTTTTAAAAGTACATTACTAATCCCATAAACCAGTGTTCACATTTAAAGACTAAACCAATAAATACACAGGTGAGGATGGTGCACAGTTTGAGCATATACTGTTTATTAAATATTTTAGTAGATATTTATTTACACTTGTTATGTTGAAAATATAACTATATGTTACCATTGTCACAAGGATCCTTATTGATACTTATTCACTCTAAGTTCAATGTGATGGAACTTGTTTCCACTATTTAATTACTGTCCGGTTTATTAACTAAAATAAGAACAAAAACAAACCAATTTAACTAAATGGCAGAGGATTGAGCAGTGAGTCTGCAGGGTCATGATCTGTACACCAAAACTGCCTCATTAAGCTAAAGTTGTGTTGATGACTATAGTGTCCTTTTAAGTTTAACAGACAAAAGTGTGTCACTTTTGTTTCTAAATAAATGTTAGGAGGTATGTTTTTTTTACGATACACAGAGAAAGATATAATAATCATAATTTTTTATTGTTCATTTACTTTAACTTATCAAAAAACTACTAATGTTACCTTTAAAATATTTACTTAGTAGCCAATGTTTGCTGTATAAAAAAAGCCCTTAAAAATCGTCTTTTGTTTTTTTCCGTCAGACATATGACTCAAGGAGTGGATGTTTCAAGCGTTTTCATGGAGATGGTGAAAGCCAGTGTCACTGTAGACATTGTCCAAAAAAAGCTGGTTTACTTATATATGTGCACATATGCAGCCCTCAAACCTGATTTGGCATTGTTGGCAATCAATACCCTTTGTAAGGACTGTTCAGATCCTAATCCAATGGTGAGAGGACTTGCTCTACGAAGCATGTGCAACCTAAGGTCAGTATTAATATTCTTGTAATCTGTTTCTTGTATATGGATATCCCCACAAAGGCACTTAATACAGTTAGATTGTAACCAAAGCTTATTCATAGATTTTACAGTGATACGACTTAATGATACTCATGTTATCAATGTCACCAGGTAAAGAATATTTCATCCTGTAGTTTAAAGGGAAATGCATCACTGTTAGATAACTGTCTAATTCAAAAGTTTTAGCTTTGAATGAGAGAGAGATGCCTCTCTGCAGGCTGCAAAAATCATGTATAGACCAAATTTAAATTAATTTTGTAAATGTTTATCACATACTTTTAAACGTTTTTCCTGGTTTATTTTTGTGTGTATATTTGTTTAAGTGATTGCACAAAGGTGTGTTGAAGAAGTCCTACACCACACTAACAATTGACGCCTGTTTAAACTGTTTACCAGCTGTTCACATGTTGTTTTAGGGGATGCTCCACTGCCCAAAGTAAAAAAATATAAATATATAGCATCCAAGTAGAGAGCACTCTGGAGTCTTCGTTTTATATCAAAATAAATACTGCTTTATTGTGCAGAATACAAAAATGTCGACGTTGAGGTCTTGAGAAAAGTCTATTGTGACTGAAACGTCGACATTTTTGTATTCTGCACAATAAAGCAGTATTTATTTTGATATAAAACGAAGACTCCAGAGTGCTCTCTACTTGGATGCTATATATTGGTCAGAGATTACTTGCACCGGAGCATGGAAAAGACCGGGAACATTGAGTGCTGGGACCTGGGAAAAAATATATATATATCATGCATTTATTTATTTATTCATACAGTTTTACATTGGGGTATATCTAAATACAGTTTTACAAAAAGCTGCAGAGCTCTTTTATAAAGCTTTTGAAAAGCACTCCCCAGACTTTCAGGATGTCCAATCACAGACTTTCCAATGCCGTTCAATGAGAAGTAAGGCAGGTGCTCTGGGCAATTGCTGCCTCTTGAGTTTAGCTCCACTGAGCTACCCAAACCAGGAAGTAACAGGACCGGTTGTCTGACAACCATGGAGTTATAACCAGGTTATTTTATAAAAGTGCCAATTTATATTGAAATCTGCACTTGTAAAATGAGAAAATGTTTAAAAATCTGCAGTCATGTTGCCATTGTAAAGTGTGCAAAATGAACAAAGATGACAGGTCAGCTATAAATATGATCTAAAAATAAAAAAACAACAGAGCCAGAATCTAAAGAAATATCCAGGAGCTGATCTTAGAAATGTGTATATATGTTACAGTTAAAGTGCAGAAATCAGTTAATGTGCACATTACCTAGTTAATGTGCACATTAACTAGGGCGATCAGTTAAAGTGCAGAAAATTACCAGATTTTACTAATTTCATGACGTAAAGTCATGATTTTATAAAGGACACGGAGGCGAATATTATGCTTATCTCTTTCTTTAATATACCTCAGCAGCAAAGAAAAAAGTTATAAGACATTAAGAGAACAAACTAGAATAGGTATTCCAAGGGTTAACATAGTATGTTATCCTTAACCAATAGGAACAATCCATGCATCTATAACCACCCATGTGACCTCTCTTCTCCCTCTTTCTTTGATTCTGCCAAAGCTTAACTTCATCCACTTGCGTAGACACTGGAACCATAACAGTTGTCGATTTCGTCTTCATAACCAAACAATGAACTTTAACCAATAGAACTGAGATGAAATCCGATCATCCATTGCATCTCCTGTAATTCATTAGGCTGAAAGGAGAGAGAAAAGAAATGGTAATATGTGGTCTAGAGACTGTGTGTCACATGCAAAAGGGTTAATTCCTATTATACATGAAACTTATACAGACCATCTGACCTGTTGTAGGGTTTACAGGTTTATGTCTCTATCCTGCTCATTCACTACCTTCTATACCAACCTCACCATCTTTACCCTAGCAATACAACTACTGGGTGGGAATTCAGGTCTTTTCTCGTTATTCTGGTAACAATTCGCGATACTTACCATATCAACTTCGCGATACTTACCGGGTGGGCTAATATTCGCCTCCGTGTCCTTTATAAAATCATGACTTTACGTCATGAAATTAGTAAAATCTGGTAATTTTATTAAAGGACACGGAGGCTCATTATGCTAGTTCAAAGCTGAGCAATGACTGACGATGTTATGTGTTCTGTAGGGCGAAAATAGAATTCTTTAAACGTGGATTCTCTAGACCAGTCCGCTGTTCGCAACAGGTCTTCCAATCTGCATCCCAAATTAAATACTTTAGTCGCCATAGCTCCTCTAGTGGAGTGTGCTCCAAACATGGATGTATCAATATTTGCGGAGGCCATCACCCATTTCACCCATCGGGCTATAGAAACCGACGATACTGGGTGATGTGGTGTGTTGATAGCCAGGAATAGGTCATGCCGGCTAGGGTCCCGAAATACCTGTGTCCGTTTCACATACTCTTTAAGACAAGCTATTGGACATAGTTTTGTATTGTGCGGAAAAGTTGGATACGATACTGTAGAAATCGATGTTTTTTGTCCGTCTGGTAATGTTAAAAGTCACACCCGATGGAGTGAACGAGCGTGCATCCACATCCAATGCCCTCACATCGGATACTCTTTTGCATGATATCAGGCAGAAGAGCATGGCCAGTTTCGCTGATAGCTGCTTAAGTGTGAGGTCCGAGTTCCGCGGCCATTGTTCCAATAAGCTTAAGACTAAGTTTACGTCCCACGTTGATGTATATCTGGGTTGTGGGGGTCTGGCAAACCTCACCCCACGTAATAGTCTGCACACCAATAAGTGTTTCACTATCGGTGCCCCTTCCCAGCCTTTATGTCCGGCCGATATCGCTGACCTATAGACATTAATAGTCCGGTATGCTAAACCTTGATCGTATAAGTGCGACAGAAAGTGTAGTAGGTAGTTCACAGGAGCACATACGGGATCCACTTGTCGTTCCAAGCACCAACCATTCCAGGCGTTCCATGCCCGACTGTAAGATCTCCTGGTTCCTGGGGCCCAGGCTCCTGCCAATAATTCCAGCGTTGACTGTGGAACCTCCGGTATGATCCAGGGTCCCCTGAGAGGAGCCATGCTAACAGTCTGAGTTGTCCTTGCATCATCAGTGGATGTGAGTTCCCCTCGGGATCCGCCAAAAGGTGCGGGTCCTCGGGGAGTAGTCTGGGAAGATCTATAGACATCTCCATGAGGGAGGGGAACCATGGTTATCAGTACCAAAGTTGTCCGAGAGCGGTCGAGATGTACTAACGTCCTTGCCAGCAGAGCAAAAGGAGGGAACGCATACAGTCGCCTGTTCGGCCATGTCTGGAGGAACGCGTCCGTAGCTATTGCTTCCGGATCTGGTCTCCAGCTGAAGAATTCTGGCAGGTGCGTGTTCAAACGAGACGCAAACAGATCCATGTGCAGTGGGCCCCACAGTTCCTGTAATCGCAGGAATACTTCTCGATTCAGGCACCAATCGCTGGCGTCCCTTAGATACCTGGAATTCCAATCCGCTACAATGTTCGTGAGACCTGGGATGTATTCGGCTCGTACTGAGATGTTGCAATCCAGGCAAAATTGCCAGAATTCCGTGGCTAAGTCTGCTAGAACCTTGGATCTTGTGCCGCCAAGGCGGTTGATGTATTGCACTGCTGATATGTTGTCCATCTGTAATATGATGGAGCAATGTGTCTTGGCCCCTAAAAGGCTCTTCAGTGCGAAGGCTCCCGCCATAAGTTCCAGGCTGTTGATATGCAGCGCCTTTTCTGCTTGGGACCATCTTCCGCCTGCTGAAATATGACCACAACGCGCACCCCAGCCATGTGTGCTGGCATCGGATTCTATTATGCAATCTGGAGCGGTGCCAAAGATCGCTCTGCCATTCCACGCTTCCATGTGTTGCAGCCACCACCTGAGTTCCTCTCTGGCTGTGTGATCGAGTTGCACGGAGTCTGAATAGGATTGACCAGATTGTAGTTGAGTGGCCTTCAATCTCTGAAGGGCCCTGTAATGCAGAGGTCCCGGAAGATTGCTTGAATGGACGCTGAAAGGAGTCCGATTATTCTGGCCAGCTGTCTCACCGTGAGCGTTGGGCGAGTTAGCGTTCTGCGTATTTCCTTTTTTATGCTTTTGATCTTCGTCTGCGGTAATTTCAGGGTACCCTGAACTGCTTCTATAATTAATCTATGGATTGTGAGGGGGTCAACACCGACTTCTCCCAGTTGATTAGAAATCCTAGGTTGCGTAAAAGTGTTATTGTCCAAGATAGGTGCTGACGGAGTAGGCGTGCATCCTGTGCCATGATCAATATATCGTCCAAATAAACGATCATGCGTACTCCTCTGCTGCGTAGCAGCACCACTACTGGTTTCAGTAGTTTCATAAAACACCATGGAGCTGATGACAGGCCGAAAGGTAGGCAGCAAAACCTCCACATCTGTGCTTTCCATTGGAACTGCAGGAAGTGGTGACAATCCTCCGCTATGGGGATGGCGAGATATGCATCCTGCAGGTCTAGTTTGACCATCCAGTCCCCTAGCCTGAGGAGGTCTCGCAGGCAATGGGCCATTTTGAAGTGGCGGTACTGTACATACGCATTGAGTGTTCGAAGGTTTATCACTGGCCTCACTCCCCCGCCCTTTTTGGGGATCAGAAACAAGTTGCTTAGAAGCCTGGAGAATAGGGTGCGACTTGATAAATCACACCTTTCTCCCTTAATGTTCTGATTTACTTTGACACAAGTTCTCTGTCCTGTGGGGTAAACAGCATCGGCCGGGGGACTGCAGTTTGGATTGGGGTTTGGACAAATTCTATGCGGTACCCTACTACTGTGTTGAGAACCCAAGCATCGGACGTGAGCCTGTTCCATGCCCTTATAAAAAGGGATAGTCTGCCCCCCACAAATGATGTACAAGAATGGGAAGCCGGGAAGGTACTCACCATAAGGCCGTCGGCCGTAAGTGGCGCCCCTGCGTCCTCTGGATTGCCATGTCCTGCCCCTGACAGGGAAGAAGGGTGAGGGTTTTCTGGTTTCCACTTGTGGGAATCTTTGTGTAGGGGAGCGTCGATAGCCCCGATAGGAGCTTCTTGATGAACGGCTGGACAGACGGCCCCGTTGTCTGCCAGCCCCCCCAAAAACCTTTGGGGCGAACACACGCTTCAGGTTTGTTTGTGCCTTGTCCAGGGCCGTAAATGTATTCACATAGTTGCCTAACTCTTTTACAAAATTGTCTCCAAAAAGGAGGCCTTTTGCTTGCGGTCCAGGCTCCGACATGGCCATGTTGACCAGTTTATGGTAAATTTTCATAAGAACTGCTTTTCGTCTTTCCGTACAAAGCGCAGCATTGGAATTGCCAATAAGGCAAATAGAGCGCGGTGCCCACTCTCGGATAGCCAAGAGGTCCACTGGCGCGCCACCTGAAAGTGCTGCCTCGACCATGTCGAATATTTTTGCGCTTGGGCCCAATGAATCAAGCACTTTATCTTGGCAGTGGCGTAGGGAATAATCCAGCCCTTTCTTGGCCTTCCAGCCTGATTTACCTAGAAATTGGGCAATTTTTGGGTCCAGTTCCGGTGTGGCACAAGCCATATCCGGGACCGTCGGGCGTGGGCATTCTGCCCTCAACTTGTTCCTGGTGGCTTTGTCCAGGGGTTTCCTAATTCTGGCCGCTATATATTGGGCCACGTGGTCAGCAGGAAACCATTCTGTCGACCTCGGGTGTTGGAGGTCGTCAGGATTAAATAGGGGCTCCCCTTGCGGATCTAGGATAACTGAATCATCCGCTGTCTCTTGGCCCCTGGTGGCTGGTTTGTCAGGTAAACTGCGCTACGGAGAAGAATTCTCCGATTCCAACGAGCCCATCTCTTCTGGCTCGCTCAACACCTCCTCTTGGTCCGAATCTGAGTCGGATATTTCTGTCTGGGCTTTAGCCCATTTCCATGCCCTCACCGTTTTTGCCCGGCGGGAGGCTCGCTTACGTGGGGGCCCCACGTCGGCCCCACGTCCTCATCAGTGACAGGACGCAACCTGTCCGTAAAAATAGTTTTGGAGGTTTGTTTGCCCATATGATGGGTCTTTTCAGTAGCCTTGCGACCGCTGGGGGGGCAGGCTTGTCGTCTTGGGCCTTGGAGCGGAGGCCTTTGGGGTTGTGGCCAGATGCCATGATAGCGTTGCTGATGGATTGGGTCAGGTTATCTGACATCGCCCCCATCGCTGTGTAGATGGCCTGAGTGACTGATTTAGTCATGGTCGCGTCGAGGAGGGAATGGAACTCCTCCGAGTTCAGTTGCTCCACAGACGCTACCTCTTCCCCTTGAAGAGAAACTGGGAGTGGGGCTTGAGACCCACGGTGTGCGGTATCCTTATTGCCCGCAGCCAACATGGCAAGCTCCTGGTCTTTGGGGTGCTGCATTTTATATATATATATACTCTGCTCCAATATGTGGCACTAACTTAGGTGGCACAATAATCTTTGCACCCACTTAAAATGCAATCTAAATATATCTGCTGAGCAGCAAAAAATACTGCCTCTTTAATACTAATGAAAGCAGACAGTGTAAGAATTGAATTCTTGCAGACAGTTAAAACTGCTGCAAACTGAGGTGACAGGGCAAGGCACAAACAAGCTGTCAGCTTACCTAGTGTTCCCTCCGGAATGACTGTAAAGGGGGCACTGGTATGCTGACAGCTAATGCCTTTGCCCAATCCGCGCGCTCCCGCCCCTAAGTGGGTTGGGAGCGTCGGTTAAAAGCGCGGCAAAATATCCCCAGTGTGAGTGAAAATGGCCGCCGCGCTATGCGGCCACGACTGCGCATGCGCGCGCGGCCACTCTCTACGAAAATGTCCGCGCCGGCAAGGCCGCTTTAGATAACAGCTGGGGAAGCCGACACCGAACGGAGTGCGGGTAATAAACTACTCGGCGGGACAGGGGAGGGAGGGAGTGTTTCCCGGACCGGAGGAAAACACTAATAGGGCGCTAGGGGCACCAGCCCTCAGTAAATCCCAGGCCTGCTCTATACCTAAAGAGAGCCCTGTCACAAGTTACTACCTCCCTGAAGACTGAAACTATACATGGAAAATACCCATAATGTGAAAGTATAATATAGATACATACAGCAATATCTAAAATTCATAAATTACAACAGAATTACCAATAATTAACTCAATTAAAAGAGAGCTAAATTGAGATGATACTTAGCTGAGACAGCAGCAAAGAAAGAGGGAGAAGAGAGGTCACATGGGTGGTTATAGATGCATGGACTGTTCCTATTGGTTAAGGATAACATACTATGTTAACCCGTGGAATACCTATTCTAGTTTGTTCTCTTAATGTGTTATAACTTTTTTCTTTGCTGCTGAGGTATATTAAAGAAAGAGATAAGCATAATATGAGCCTCCGTATTCTTTAATAAAATTGTTTAATTTCTCAAAGATTTCTCACATTACCTAGGTAATCTGCACATTACCTAGTTAATCTGCACATTACCTACTAGGCACTAGTTAAAGTGCAAAATAAGATCTTTTGCTGGAACAACAGCAACATTTAAGAAGCAAGTTAGTACAATCAAACGAGAATCAAGTTAACCCATTAAGGACACATGACGGAAACATTCCATCATGATTCCCTTTTATTTCTGAAGTTGTGTCCTTAAGGGGTTAACATAATATTATTTATTTAGCAACAAAGAAGCAAGTTTCTGTTACAAAACTGCAATAGAAAGAATCAAACGATTAAGGAAATTAATTTGCTAAACAAAGATATTATAAAACTATGCTTACTAATTAGTGCAATCTAAAGATTGGCGACACTTTGAATTACATAGCAGTTGTTTTTTGCGACAAGCACATCTATTTGTGGTACATTTTCGATTTGCAGTCACATTTTCTGAAACCCTGCCCAGTTCCCAAGGGATTGTTTGATTGCTGTTTGACGTAAAGATATTTCTACAGCAGGGACATCTTCTTTCGTTAAAAATCTCTCTTTGCAAACACTGAATTCCGATTTGGCATACAATTGTTTTTCAAAATACCCGGTTTAGTACCAAGTTTATAAAAGCCATCCTCTGTTTTACTAAGAACTACAGCTAAAAATCGAGCGGGCATCAGTTTTTGCTCTGTCCACTTCAGGTACTTTAATTCTCACAGTGACACCTTCGTTCTTTGCTTGCTTTTCTAAACCTTTCTAAACCACATAGTCACATACCTCCTCTTCAAAACAGTTATCCCGAACTGGTAAGAAATGAGGAGCCCCCCACAACCACAAGAGAGCGAGCGCCTTCCTGCACATTATGCAGCAACCACCCTGAAATGATCCAGCAGATGCTCTCCACTGTTCTCAATATCATCATCATATTTGAAGGACTGTCGGAATCAGTGGTCCATGAGCAGACCTCTCCTTGGTCTCATTCTCCTCAATGCGAAGTATTTCTCGGACTTACAGAGCAGCATTGTTGTTAGTAGCCAGCCCCCTCTGTGAAGCAACAAGCCATGCGTCTACGCTTTGAGAATTCGAATGGAGGGCATTGAAAAGGAACTTGCTCACGAAAGAATCTTTCTGCATTTAGACGAGAAGTGAACAACTCTGCAGAGACTGCACTGAAAGGGTGAAATAGGTTCTGCTGCGAGGACGTTTTGTAATAAATAATTTCCTCTTTACCGAGCGAAAGAAACAAGATTTTGCACTGAAAAAGGGTGAAACAGGTTTCTGCGAGGGCGTTTTGTAATAAATAATTTCCTCTTTACCCAAGGGGAAAGAAACAAACATGTTGCACTTTAACTAGACGGAAGCAGTTAATGTGCACCTTACCTAACTAAAGTGTGGAAAACGCTTGATTCCTCACTTTAACTGAGCAAATCAGTTAATCTGCAGATTAACTAGGTAATGTGCACATTAACTGATTTCTCACTTTAACTGTAACATGTATATACAGTCATGGGAAAAAAGTACACCCTCTTTGAATTCTATGGTTTTAGAATTCAAGACATAATAACATTCATCTGTTCCTTGGCAGGTCTTAAAATTAGGTAAAAACAACCTCAGATGAACAGCAACACATGGCATATTAGACCATGTCATGATTTATTTAACAAAAATAAAGCCAAATTGGAGAAGCCATGTGTGAAAAACTAAGTACACGTTATGATTCAATAGCTTGTAGAGCCAACTTTAGCAGCAATACCTTTTTAAGTAATCGTTTTATGTATGACTTTATCAGTCTCTCGCATCGTTGTGGTTTTTCTGGGTTTGTTCCCCTTACTTCCAGTAAAGGGAAATTGTAATACTTCAGCATGCCAAGACATTTTAGGCAATGCTATGTGGGAACAGTTTGGGGAAGGCCCTTTTTAATTCCAGCATGACTGTGCCCCAGTGTACAAAGCAAGGTCCATAAAAACATGGTTGGATGAGTTTAGTTTGGAAGAACTTGACTGGCTCGCACATAGCTCCAACCTCGATCCCATTGTACACATTTGGGATGTACTGTAACAAAGGTTGCAAACTAGGCCTTCTGTATAACATTACTGCCTGACCTCACAAATGGTTTACTAGCGGAATGGGCAAAAAATCCCACAGAAACATTCCAAGATCTTGTGGAAAGCCAGCTGCAAAGAAGGGACCAGCTACATATTTATGTCTATGTATTTAGAATGCAATGCCATAAAAGTCCCTGTTGGTGTAAAGGTCAGGTATCCAAATCCCTTTGTCCACACAGTGAATGAATGAATATATATATATATATATATGTGTGTGTGTGTCCAGCCTGCCCACTTTTCTTTTGCTAGCTTTTTGGATTCTTTTGTTTATAAGCATAATTCTGCGATTGGATCCTCAATTTTATATTTACATTATATGGTTTTGTTAGTTGTGCAGTGTAATATTGTAATTGTGACATAATGTTTTTTATAGCTGCTTCTCCAAACATAGGCACTTAGTATCCTACAGGATGATTTTTAAACCCGATTTACACACTCTCCCCTAGGATGCCAGGAATCCATGAATATATACAACAGCCAATTCTCAATGGCCTCAGAGACAAAGCTTCGTATGTGAGAAGAGTGGCAGTTTTGGGCTGTGCCAAAACTAATACGATGCACGGAGATGCAGAAGTCGGTAAGTTTACAAATTTTAGTAATTCAACTCATAGAAAATAAAAGAATCTCCTAATGCAATGTTTTCATTAAAAAAAAAAAAAAAAAAACATCGAGCACAATGTATTTATTTTTATTTTTATTCAGTGGAGGTGTATCCATAGGAGCAATTGTCACCAGTGGGGTACCTCAGGGATCTGTACTTGGACCCATTCTCTTTAATATTTTTATTAGTGATATTGCAGAAGGTCTTGATGGTAATGTATGTCTTTTTGCTGATGATACCAAGATATGTAACAGGGTTGATGTTCCAGGAGGGATAAGCCAAATGACAAATGATTTAGGTAAACTAGAAAAATGGTCAGAATTGTGGCAACTGACATTTAATGTGGATAAGTGCAAGATAATGCATCTTGGACGTAAAAACCCAAGGGCAGAGTACAAAATATTTGATAGAGTCCTAACCTCAACAATTGAGGAAAGGGATTTAGGGGTGATTATTTCTGATGACTTAAAGGTAGGCAGACAATGTAATAGAGCAGCAGGAAATGCTAGCAGAATGCATGGTTGTATAGGGAGAGGTATTAGCAGTAGAAAGAGGGAAGTGCTCATGCCATTGTACAGAACACTGGTGAGACCTCACTTGGAGTATTGTACACAGTACTGGAGACCGTATCTTCAGAAGGATATTGATACCTTAGAGAGGGTTCAGAGAAGGGCTACTAAACTGGTTCATGGATTGCGGGATAAAACTTACCAGGAAAGGTTAAAGGATCTTAACATGTATAGCTTGGAGGAAAGACGAGACAGGGGGGATATGATAGAAACATTTAAATATATAAAGGGAATCAACACAGTAAAGGAGGAGACTATATTTAAAAGAAGAAAAACTACCACAACAAGAGGACATAGTCTTAAATTAGAGGGACAAAGGTTTAAAAATAATATCAGGAAGTATTACTTTACTGAGAGGGTAGTGGATGCATGGAATAGCCTTCCAGCTGAAGTGGTATAGGTTAACACAGTAAAGGAGTTTAAGCATGCGTGGGATAGGCATAAGGCTATCCTAACTATAAGATAAGGCTAGGGACTAATGAAAGTATTTAGAAAATTGGGCAGACTAGATGGGCCGAATGGTTCTTATCTGCCGTCACATTCTATGTTTCTATGTAATTGGTGAAGTCCCACATCAATTTTTGGTGCAAAAATTCCCCCCAAAAAAACTACAGCTACTCAATGTCTCAATGTCTTGTGGCTACTCTTGAGCCTGGTATGTGTGTTAGTGTTTAAGCAGCACAGTATTCAAGCCTACAGGCCATATTGCAACTGGACGAATCTTGTGTATAGAGGGAGCCTGACTGTAGCGGACAAATTTAGAAATGGCGTAATCTGCTTCTAGAGATGTAGTTATAGTACCAGCATGGTAAGTCACTCCGATATTGTTGCTATGCAGGGTTTATTCTGTTTATGGAAGGCTGCGTGGATATTTAGTGGTTATTGAGGGCTATTAAGCGCTATGGAATCTGTTGGCGCTATATAAATGGCAATAATAATATTTAGAGACTTGAGGATATGGCTGTGTAAAATCTGGTTGGAATCGTCACTGTTAAATCTTCTTAATTTCTTCTTGTCTTCGATTGATAGATATATATATATATATATATATATATATATATATATATATATATATATATATATATATATATATATATATATATATATATATATATATATATATACGTCTTTTGTATATATAGTCTTGGGCCAAATATAATGTTCGCCACAATAATATATGTCTATATTATTGAAAAGTACTAATACGCAATCTGACTTACGGTTTCTTCAGGTTTATTCTTACGGATACATAATAAAACAACAAATGATGTTACAGGATAATGGACATTCAACAGCAGATGGTAATTGCTGGACTTCTTTACGTTCTTACATCTTTACATCTCGAGAGAGCCCAGAGCCAAGAGCCGAGCCAAGAGAGAGAGTGACCTTGTGTCCCTCTGTTACTATAAAGATGTGCTAATACTAACGTCAGCATTTAACTCTAGTCATATAAGGACAAAACCCCCACATCCACATTCCAGAGCTCTCGGACAAAGAAAGCCTTGCGACTTAGACCATCTGTTACTTATGTCAATCCACACATCCATATATAATCAATAGAAACATAGAATATGCAATATTCTACAGGCTGTATTTTATATATTTTTTTTAATTCCCAACTCAGCTATAGTCACAGCTTTAGAAATTTGGCTTTTAATTCATTACAATTCAGTGTTTAATGAATAAACTCACCTGTTTTATATATTAACTAATATGATTTAATGTAGTGCAATAAATACTGTTGAAGATGTATTATCTGGTCAAGGATTAGTAGGGTATTCAAAGCTGTTTATTGAGCAAGGCAAAAACACTCAAAAGTATGCTTGAAATTGCAACAAACATCAATGTCAATGCGAACATAGTAAACAGCGTGATACAGCGAAATAGTTTTCTGTTGTGCAGGTTTAATACCCGCGTAATGTGCATTGATTCACAGTGATAGCAGAGACAGTGTCTTGACCAACTCCTTGAAATAGGAGGCAAGGTTGTTGCTCACATGCAATAAAACATTAACCAGTAAACCGTACCTAATGGGTATAGAGCGGATAATATGTTTGTAGGTATGCGGATTATCTGTTGGCCATGGTGTATGTGAGCGATATATTCCAGCCCTCCCTTCTATGTGGGAAGGGTTGAGGGTGGGGGGGCAATTGTAGGAGCTTAAAAAGGGAAAAATAAAGGATGAAGTCGCAGCAAAGAAAATTATTGGGACAATGAAAAAAAGAAAGACGGGGAGAGAAGGCAGTTGAATGGGGAAAGGTGGAAAAGAGGTAGAAGTTAGAAGCTAGACCACCTGCCCGGAGTATGCGGCTTCTCCTGGTTTTTGGGGTTGAGCCATGTGGCAGATAAGGTGTCATGGATGTATCGGTCAAGAGGGCGGTCCTGAAACAGGATAGGAGTGATCCAACTCCTTCTCTTATGGGTCAGGGATTAGTACATGGGGTTGCATGGTTAACATGTCAGGGACTGAGTCAGATTCCATGGGTGGGGTATAATGGCATCTTGCTCTAAGCCTAGCCAAATCAAACATCTGCAATTTTTGTAATTTGTCATGTATCATTATTATTCAATATTTTCAATATTATTGACCTTGGTGTAAAATCTTCAGCAAGGCAGATATCTTATTATGTGGAGAGCAACCAGAGAACTTTCAAATAGGTGCATAATCATGGGCTTCCGTAGAAGGGGGCAAGGTCCCCACTCCCTCCCCCCTCCCTGGATTTTTCAGCTTGTGCCGGTATTTGTCTTTAGAAATTGAGAATACACTGCAATACCATCCAGTAGATAGCGCTGTCTGTAGAGAGATGCAGGGATAGGAAGCTACATATTTTCCTTGCTTCTCTCTACTAACTGAATCCATGGGGGGGCAGCTATAGACAGTGCAGTCAGCAACTCCCAGACTGCAGAGACAGCTTACAGATCAGGTAAGTAAGGGATGAGGGTCAGCCCACAGATCAGGTAAGTGAGTGTTGGGAGGGCAGCCTAAAATCAGGTAAGTTAGGGATGGGGGAGACAGTCTACAGATTAGGTAAATTGGAGACAAGGGGGAGGCAGTCTACAGATCAGGTAAGTTAGGGGTGGGGGAGACAGCCTACAGATCAGGTAAGTGAGGGATTAGGGTGGGGGGGTGGAGGCAACCTACAGATCAGGTAAGTGAGGCATGGAGGGGGGACAGCCTACAGATCAGGTAAGTAAGAGATAGGGGGGAATACCAGTGGAAGTATAGGCTCAGCTAAAACAAAATCTCAATCCAATAATCCATGGAGTTAAATAGCTGATAGTTATCACCTTCAGGATTAGAGAAAATAATTCAGGACTTCATGTATGAAGTTAGAGTAAGAGGATGTAGTCCCTAAAAGTAAAAAAAAAAAAGTTCCATCTCTGCTGATCTCCCATGTAGTCAGATTCACTATTACCACAAATGTGGACTATGATGGCATTAGAGAAAAGGGAAATGGCTACAGTAACAAAATGGTTAACTAGGTGCATTACTGCTGCCTACAGTGTGCTTGGGGCAACACAAAGCATACAAAATACACTGAGAAATGGCAGTATACCCTTTACTAATGTTCAAAATGTCAGAAACCTGTTGTCTTGCTCCTAGACTGCAGCTGTGAGTCATGAGAAGCCTGTAGTCTTTTTAGCAGGTCCTATCACACTTCTCTCTCATGGGATACATATCCTGGCCTTTGAAAAATGTCATATTGAATCTTTTGCAGGGACTGGATCCTTGGTGTTGTCCAGGAATGAGGGAGGGCTGCTTGCTGTGTGTTTGTGTATTCAGGAGTGTGTGTATGTATTCAGCAGTCTGTGTGTGTGTATTCAACAGTGAGTGTCAGGCCCCCTGCCCGCGCCGCTCGCGGCGGCTTCACTTACCCACTAATCGCGAGCGGCAGCTTCTAGGGCCTGCCCACGGCTGTTTCAGTGACTGCAGGTCCCGCCGGCATTCTGCCTAACGTTGCACACTCGGCACACATTGATGACGTCAGGGGTCTAAGTGGAAGGATCAAATATCTTTGACGTATTATAATTAACTCTAATTGGACACTAGCCAATCAGAATTACCCTAGGCATATTTAAACTTACCTCCTCCGTGCCTTGTTGCCCTGTTGTGGTCTTCCCAATAGCGCGTTTACTCTGTCTGATCGCTGGTTACCAAATTTTGGCTTTGTCTCTTGTTTACTCTGTCTTCTCTGATCCTTGACCATGGCTTGTCTTATCGTTGTTCTGTATCTCTATAGTCCTTTGACTTTGGCTTTTACACTGACCGTTCTCCTTTTGCATAGCCCAGCCACTCTAAGGACTGGCATTGCAATTGTTCCTCTCGTAATCTGTCCGTGTGTCTGGTTCCGGAATTGTGACAGTGAGTGTATGTATTCAGCAGTCTGTGTGTGTGTATTCAGCTTTGAGTGTATGTATTCAGCAATCTGCGTGTGTGTATTCAGCCGTCTGTGTGTGTATATTCAGTAGTCTGTGTGTGCATGTATTCAGTCTGTGTATTCAGCACTCTGTGTGTATGTATTTAGCAGACTGTTTGTCTGTATTCAGCAGTGAATATATGTATTCAGATGTCTGTGTGTGTGTATTCAGTAGTCTCTGTGTGGGTATTCAGCAGTCTCTGCGTGTATAGGGGGGTAGATACACTAAGAGGGGTAAGACATTCAAAAGATGGGAAATACAAAACAACGGGAAAAAAAAGAAACACAGGTGAAAAAATATTTTATTCTAACAGACTCTTTAATGGATGCTGGGACGGCCCCTGTTAGAGGGCCCCCCTCCAGGGCCCATTATTATTATTATTACTGGCATTTATAAGGTGCGGGAAGTGTTGTGGGGATTCTACTCCCCTACATTCAGCCTTGACTAATGTGTGAAAAGCTATAATCACTTCTTTACAGGAGAAAGGGTCTCCAGCTCCATAACCACTGAAGGCCGCTGCAAGGATTTTTGAGTACACAGGCGAAGATGATTTTGGTGCCGCCCCTCTCCCCTCCCCCCCATAAAAATGCATATTCACTTGTGTGCTGTGTGTCTTTTAACCAACCTTTTGTTTCTTATCCCCTTTTTTTTAAATGTCTTACCCCCTTTAATGTATCTAGTCCCCTATTTTCCCCATTGTGTGTTTTATACCTCCCTTGTGGATCTTTTACAACCCTCCTTTGTGTGTCTTACTTCCCCTAGCCCCTTTGTGTGTCTTCTTCTTTTCCAGCCCCTTTGTCTTTTACTTTTTCCAGCTCTTTTGCGTGTTTCTCTTTCACCCCTAGCCCGTACAATTTCCCCCAGCCCCTCTGTGTCTCTTTTTCCTCTTCTCTAGCCCCTCTGTGTCTCTTTCACCTCCCCCCCCCCCAGCCCTTTTGTATTTCCACCCCAGGCCCTTCTGTGTATCGCTTTCATCCCCAGCCCCTCTGTACGTCTTTTATACCCCCAGGCCCATCTGTGTGTCTTTCTCCCCCCTCATGTCCCTCTGTATGTCTTTCTTCCCACTCAGGCCCCCCTGTGTGCCACTTTCCCCTCCATGTCCCTTAGTGTTCCTCTCCTGTCCCCTCCATGTCCCTTGGTGGTCCTCTTCCCTGTCCCTTAGTGTTCCTCTCCCTCTCCCCAGTGATGACCTCAGCGACCACACGGGAGGAAAGAAATTCCTCCCACGTGTTGTGGTTAACACTAATTGGAGGTTAGCCAATCAGACACCTCCTGTGTGTGTATAAGCTAACCTATCCCTTGCCTCAGTTCACTGTTGTGGTCTTTGGTTTACCATTGAGCGTTGCACTTATTTGAATTTCCTGGTTACTGATATTTGGCTTTGACTCTCGTTATTCCGTCTCTCTGTTTCCCTTGACCTCGGCTCGTGTTTTGACTATCCCTTTTTGCATAACCTGACCATTCTAAGGATAGGTATTGCAATTCTCTCTACTCTGTCCTGTCTGCATGTTAGGGTTCCCTAGTGAACGTTACATTGTGTTACTTTCCCCTCCTTCCCCTGTCCCTTAGTGTTACTCTCCTCTCCCTCCCCTTAGTGTTCCTCTCCCCTCCCCTCCCCTCCCTCCTCTGTTCCTTAGTGTATATCTCCCCTCCCTCATCTGTCCCTTAGTGTTCCACTTCCTACCTTACCTGTCTCTTAATGCCCGCCCCTTAGTATGCTTCTCCCCTCCCTCTTAGTGTTCTATTTCCCTTTCCTCCCCTGTCTCTTACTGCCCTTTCGCCCCCCCTTAATGTTCCTCCCACCCCCACCTCTTAGTATACCTCTCCCTTCCCTCCCTCTCTTTTAGTGGTCTCCCCCCTACCCCAGTGTTCATTTTCCTTTCCCTCTCCTGTACTTTAGTGCCCCCCCTTAATGTTCCTCTCTCTCTCCCACCTAATGTCCCTCTCCCCTCCCTCTCTTTTAGTAGTTCCCCCCCTTTCCTGTCCCTTAGTGTTTCTTCTCCATTCCCTTGCCTCCCCCTCACTGGCGCTCGACTTACAGCAACTCCTATTTCTGGTTTTATTTCATGTTCAATTGTGGGAACTAAGCAAGTAAATGTCGATTTCTGTTCTCCTTTTTTGTTAAAAGAAGTCAAACAGAAGTATGAGTAACTGGTATTTAGAATTGTTACATGACCTGTTTCCCAGTGATTAAGAAAGAGGCTTAGTTTTATTGAGGTATAATTTGAATTGGGCAAGCAGACATCTTCTACATTTGCATTAGTAAATTTATCTATAGCAGTATTTAACTGCAATACTTTCATGTAAAGTTCTTGTATAGAGCTACAGCAGTAGTAACGCAGAGTTGCAAGTTTGACTCATTTGGTGCTGATTTCATCCTGGGATCATCTCTTCCTAGCTTTTTCTTGAAACCACTTTATTGAGCGTTGTCCTTGTTCAACTCACCGCAACATTTCATGTGTAAATAAATAACGGTAGGTAGGATAAGACAATAGTACATGCGTGCTTGCAAATCTGTTTCAATACAATTAAAATATATGATCTAAAATTGGAGGTATGAACATTTTAGACCAAAAAATGCATTAAACCGAAATAGTTGTGGGTTTATGGAATAGCCATAAAGTGATGGAAAATAATACAAGTGAGAAGATGAATAGAGCTTTGAGATAGATCATTATTGTCCTTACCTGTAAACAAATGTCAGAATAAAACCCGTGCTTTTTGAATTAACAGCAGATAAAATATATTTTACAAACCTGTTCTATCACACACTATTTTACTAGTGCTTTTTCATGCTAATGTTATCTGTGCAGTTTCTGCTTTATTTGTTCTATGTTTTATTTTTATCCTTGCAGATGGCACGGTCGTGAATGAATTGTACAGTCTACTTCGAGATCCTGATCCTATTGTTTTGGTGAACTGCTTACGTGCCTTAGAGGAAATCTTAAAAGGAGAAGGTGGAGTTGTGATCAACAAGCCCATTGCTCATCACCTCCTCAACAGGTTTACTGTCCTAATCACCTATTAACTATTCTCAGGAGTGTTGCCAAACAGTGGCCACTGTGCTATTAGGCTCCAGACATTCTCTGACTGGCAAACAATTAGGGAAGTTAGGTTTTAACACCTGGAGGGTCTTGTTTTGACAGGGTCAGTCATTGTAGAGGAATGTATTATTTATATATTATTTCTCCTCCCTGCAGTGACATGACCAGTGGGGGTTAGTCATAGTCAAGCACTAGCTAATTTTGTTTTAGGATAATAATGTATAGCTAATGTTTTTATTAAATACATCCTCATGTGTTATTAAACACGTTTTTCATGTTGATATCAGTTTTTAAAAATAGTAAATTGTTTGTTTTCTTGACACATTGTCAATGTGGATAGGTTTTATTAGATATTTCACTAAGTGTTATGATCTATTGCAATACTAATTTACTGCTTTGATGCAAAGAATAGAAAGCTCCTGTCTACATCTGTGGATACATTGCATATGCACGTCATCCACACTGCTGACTGTTAAACTGAGTTAACACAGGCTCACATCAGAGAACTGGTTAACTGGCCTGCAGAAAAATTCAGAATAAAATACAGGGGTGTAGTAATAAGAATAAGAATTTTGGAGACTTGCCAAGTTAATTGCATATTTCATAATGCAGAAGTTGTGGTAGAATAATATTTGTGTCCAAAATAATGTAAAATGTAAAAATAAGCAATGGACCTCAAGAAAATTAACTGACTAAAATCAACCTGCCGTTATTTTTTTCCCCTCTCTCACACATCTTGACAGTTCTTTAAAGTAGCACTCTAGTGACAGAAATACAAACATGTATTCCTGACACTATAGTCTTGAAACGTCTGTTTAGGTTACCGACCCTCCTCTGATCTCAGTAAACGTGATTTTACTGATCTTTTCTCATACGCCCCAACCGTCTCGCCGCAGCTGGCTCAATATTGATGATCTCAGTCAATCCAATGCTTTCCCATTGGAGGTAAGGCAATTGGGCATGCGCAGTAAAACGCCACGCTACACCAATCAGCATCCTCTCATACAGATGCATTGACTCAATGCATCTCTATGGGGAATGTTTAGGTATCTCCATGCAGATGGTGGGGACCCTGAATGCTAGTGCTGCACAGTGCGCAGCACTGGACTAGGAAGCACCTCTAATGGCTGTCTAATGACTGCCACTAAAGGTGTTATTAGGCACCAATGTAAACACTGCCTTTTCTCTGAATAGACAGCGTTTACATTTGCACGGAAAGGCTATAGACATTAGAACCACTACATTAAGCTTTAGTGGTTCTGGTGACTATAGTGTATTTTTTATTGTAAATTGTATGACAGAAGATAATACAATAAAGCTTGGTTATTTTGATCTCATTTAATCTGACTTTGTATATGTTTTAGGCCTGGATTCCATTAGAAGAAATACACTTAAAGGAACACTATAGGGTCAGGTACACAAACATGTATTGCTAACCCTATAATGTTAAAACAACCATCTGTCCCCCTCCCTCCCCCCCTTTCCCCTCTGAATATAATAAAATTCTTACTTTTATTGTAGTCTGCTGCTGCTGCTGATCTGCCTGCTTGGCTGATATAATCAGAGGTGATACTCTCAGCCAGTCACAATGCTTTCACATTGGATTGGCTGAGCTTGTCAAGTCAAATATGACTCAAGTCAAATATGACTCTGGCCATCACTATCTCCTCATAGAGATGAATGAATTGAATCAATGCATATCTATGAGAAAAGTTGAGTGTCTCCATGCAAAGGGTGGAGACACTGACTGTCGGAGCTGCACAATGTGCAGCACTGCCTGAGGGAGCACCTCAAGTAGCCATATGAGGAGTGGCCAGTGGAGGTATCTCTAGGCTGTAATGTAAACACTGCCTTTTCTCTGAAAATACAGTGTTTTACTGCAAAAAGCCTAAAGGGAATGATTATACTCACCTTTTCTTATTCCATTTTCTTTAAACATTTTGTTCATTTGCATTTTACCTCTTAAAACACTATTTCACTTTTCACCTTAATTTTCCAGGTTAATTGCCATTAGATAAGAATGTTAATTATTTCTTTTTTAGGGTGGCTGATTTGGATCAGTGGGGACAAAGTGAAGTCTTAGCCTTTCTCCTCCGATATACACCCCGGACAGAAGAGGAGATTTTTGACATCCTAAATATCCTGGACAGCTTCCTTAAGAGCACCCATGTAAGTGTGGTCATGGGTGCGTCCAAATTATTTCTAGTTCTCGCCAAGGACTTCCCCCATGTGCAGAGAGATGTCCTGGCTAGACTTAAAGTTCCTCTACTGGCTGCCTGCACCTCTGAGAGCAGAGAAATGTGCTTTGCTGCATTGTGCCATGTCCGCGAGATTCTGCGCAGCTTTCCAGCACATTTCAGTGCTCACTATAAAAAGTTTTTCTGCTCCTACAATGATCCACATTATATCAAGAACCAAAAGATGGATATTCTGTGTGAACTGGTGAACGATGAAAATGTACACAGTATTTTGGAGGAACTTCGAGTCTGTTGCACAGATGTATCTGTACAGCTCGCTCAAACAGCCATTTTTGCAATAGGTGAGTATTATTTATTGTCTATGTATTGCAATATTCGATAAACTAGAGAACCATGGCTTATATTTTTGTGGCACGTAAACTCTATAAAGGTTTCTGCTGGAGAAATGCCAAAATATTGCTTATTTGCCAGCAGCACTCTCCGTCAATCAATGCTTTTCAGTTTGGATGTAATCAACATTGGTAATGGCTAAGTATTCCACATTATCAATGCCGCTGAGAAAATGAGTTGTTCCCATGCACTGTGGAGAGCTGCTTGGTATTAAACTGCTTCGACCACTACACTTTGCTGCAGTGGTTATGTGCATAAAGTGCTTTTTCAGATGTTGTTAGTATGCAGTTTTGAAGCAGTAAAAGATGCCTACGTCTATCAGGTATCTAGATATCCCTGAATGATACTTGCTCCATGTGTATTATTATTAGTTGAAGCTAATTGTTGCATGATACCTAAAGAACTAGTTGACCCAATTTTTAAATATGTAGGGTAGTTAAAATTCTTGACTGTGTTGTGCCTGGATTACAACTAAAGTCTACACTCATCAAGAGGCACTCTATACACCAGCTATAAACTAATCACAACAGCTCACTGTAGTTCTGGTGCAAATACACTAGGCATGCCACTCCTCAGTAGGTGAACCATTTTTTGAGCGATTTGACAAAAGTGGAGCATCCTTTGCTTTAGTTTGGCAAAAGTGGTAGTGGACTTCTGCATTAGCCCTTCCAACGTTGGGAAGAAATATTAAACTAACTTGTGATCTCAGTCTGCCACAAACTTCCAAAAAGATCACGCTTGGCTATTGTTATAGCATTTTTAGCCTACATTTTGCAATCTGTTCTTCAATCCACTACAATACAGCGTTTAAAGGACCACTCTAGGCACCCAGACCACTTCAGCTTAATGAAGTTGTCTGGGTGCCAGGTCCAGCTAGGGTTAACCCATTTTTTAAATAAACATAGCAGTTTCAGAGAATATAGAACGAGTATGTTTTCCTGGCACTATAGTGGTCCTTTAATGAATAAGACTTTTGGTGCAGGATCTCCCGTGCTTTAGACCTAAATAATGCAGAGGTGTTTCACTGATGTGATACAGCTTATTTAGGTTTCTTATTTATTTAATTTTTATTAATCCCAGTCAGTCATTGTGGATGCAGTGGATTGCTTCCAAATGTAATTTAAAGGACAACTATAAGCACCAAAACAACTTTAGCTTAATAGAATTGTTTTGGTGTATAGATCATGCCCTTGCAGTCTCACTGTGCAATTCACTTCCATTTAGGAGATAAATCACTTTGTTTATGCAGCCCTAGACACACCACCCTGCCTCTGACTCACACAGGTTCCCAACACACTTCCTTAAAACTAGGTCTAAGTTTTTTTTATCTCCTACTCTGTTTATTGTCTTTTAGAGCCTGCAAAAACATCATCTGATTTAGACAGAACAGGAGATTTAGAATAAAAACACTTTTAAAGTAAATACACTGCTGTTAAACTTTTTCATCACAAATCCAAAATACAGGGTGGCCAGTAAGTCCCTACCCATCCATATATCTTATGTATCCAGTTTATCTGTGTGCTGGATGGGTAGGGACTTATGGACCACCTTGTAGTATCTGCCCTTGTGTGCAAGGACTTCTCATTGGGAAACATTGGGAAGTCTGTAATTGGAATGCCAAATCATGTCTGGACTGGGTTAGAAGGGGAGAGCCTGCAAAGGCTACAGACAAAATATTTGCAGGGTTTGCAAGCTGTTTGTTGATATGCATAATTAAAAGCACGCATATTTTCATTTGGGGTATATCTACTAAACAGTGATTTGTTTTTATAATTGGGCAGTAAAGAGTCCCTTTAATTTCTCTTGTTTTAGGCAGTTTCCCATTTTAAAATGCTACGATAAGGCAGTATGTTTTAAGTTTCACATAGGGTCATAGGATATATATGTGATTTAAACATTATATAGATATCTTGTATTTGGTTTTCACTTAATTGAATAATGCTGTGACTTTGAATAAAAAACTTTTCTCATCGAGACTGTGAGTCACAGCCAGGATAGGTGTAACTAGGGGTTGTAAGTAGGGCTGCATACAGAAAGTGATTTAACTCCTAAACAGCAGAGAATTGAGCAGTGAAACTGCAATAGCATAATCAATACTCTAAAATTGTTTCATTAAGCTAAAGTTGTTATGGTGCTTAGCGTGTCCCTGTAATATTTTTTTTCTATTATTGCTTTACCTATAAAGTGTCAACATAATCCATGATTTATTCTCACAGTACACTTAAATTACATTCTATGGGTATATTTTTATATCTGCATATTGTACAAAGAAAATAGATTTATATTTATTATAGTTTTTCTTACATATGTTATTATATGTGTGTTTATTTTTAGGTCGCATTGCAAGAACTTATAGTGAGAAATGTGTGAAAATCTTAGCAGCACTTCTTGAATTCAAACAAGAGCACATAGCATCAGGTAAATTCCTGAAAGTATTCTAAAGAGGAACAATTTTATGGTGGTAAACCTATGACCGAACCAAACAAAAGCTGAATGAGTGTTCTTAGAAAGTACAGCCTACTTAAATGGAAAAACCTCACCTGTGATCTGAGTGAATCAAATCCATTCACAATTCTAATGGCACAACCTTCCTCCTGTCTTGGAAAGTGCCTTAATTAGAGTACATGATATATAGAATCTTATATCAGAAATGATATAATCCATTGTATATAAAATAGTTTTCATTCTCTTTATATTGTAGTATGTAATGAGAAATATCAACTAATATTGACATGCAGATAAGGACCTGAAACGAGATTGGAAAGGCAAATCAACTTTTCGTAATGGTGCCTTAGCACCCCCTTGCACACACCTATACTCAAAACCTTGCCAGGATACCTTTGGTGGTGGCTGAATAAAGGCATCTTATTTGAAGAAGCATTTTGAATCGGTCTTTACTGGCTTGAGAAACCAAGTGGTGGAGGTTCTTGTTAGACTGTGACTCTCTGCATGTCCTTTTTACCATGTTTTCTGATACTGATTGTCCTCCATACACTTAACTCAAACACTATTGCAATATTTACTGGGGTGAGGACTGCCAAATACATTTTGATATGATATGACATTTCTAATATAAGTGTCATGTAGTACCTGCCTCTGTCTTTTTATGATTTGCACGTGTACTCCATCCTATCCAGCCGACTTCTGTCCATTTGGAAATGCTGTTTGAAGAAAGTACTGCTTAGGTTCAGGCCGCCATAAATATATAGGTATTGCTTTGGTTGTGTATGGGCACAGGGTAATTTCCCTCAGATGGATGTTAATTCAGTCAACCAGTGAGGTCAGAGGAAGAAACTAGTGAGTCAAGGAGCAGCATTTACAACAAAAATGTTCTGACACAGTACGTTCGTGATTTATCCAAGCAACAATACCATTGATAATGCTGATATTATAGTTCTCTGTGGTTTTTCAGCTGTCATACAGACTTTCCGAGACCTTGTTTGGCTGTGTCCACAGTGCACGTCGGCAGTATGCTTGGCTCTTCCTGGCTGTGAGGAAAACATTCAGGATAATGAGGTGATGATATAATGATTAATAAGTATTGGTGCATTAACTCACTGTGAAACCAGTTGTGTTGATTCTACTAATTATGTTTCCCCAGATGAATCTGTCTTGGTACACACAACTTTAGCTCTTTTTAAAAAATCTTAAAATTCCATCTATACATTGCGCTAGCAGGTTTATTACCAAATGTATAGAAAATCCTAATTAAAAATAGGTTTTTATCCCATGTGTATGTCAATTACTTGGCAAACACTGAATGCCATGGAACTAAGGAAAAAGGGTAAGCAGAAAACACCTCCCACAAGAGGTACTTCTGCTCTCCACCCATTGCAACCACAGCACATGAGAAGGTGGAGTGCCAAACCAGCGCTGAGAGACATCGGCGCTGGAATCAGGTAAGTGACTAAAGAGTTTTATATGCCAGAGATGGGGGAGGCAAAGGTGGGGGCGACCAGAGGGCACTATACTGTTAGGAATTCACTAGAATACTAAAAAAATCTTCAGCCCCATTGTACAGTTTCTATACTGTGCTTTTAAAGATGCAAGTGAAATTAACATGCATTTATTTTTTTAAATATGTACAGGGAAAGCAGGCATTAATTTGGCTCTTAGGAACGCATGGAGAACTTGTTCCAAATGCTTCTTACATCTTGGAGGACTATGTTGACAATATTAAGGCAGAAATCTCCCCAGTGGTAAAGATGGAACTTCTGACTGCTTTAATAAGACTCTTCCTTTCCCGACCAGCTGAGTGTCAGGACACACTTGGGCGACTCATTTATTATTGTATTGGTAAGAAAACCATCCTTTTAAAGATCTTTATGTACTGGGTTTTAAAAAATAAAAATGTGTATATCAGGCTAACAAAGAAGAAAGCTAAAAAACTAAAACTAAACTAGTTTAAACACTAGGAATGTTTTTGAAAAAAGAACTTTTAATTTGAATATCTGCTAACCACTTGGCTATTACAATATATAGTTAAAAATGTTGCTTCATAAAATCAACATCTGTCATCTTTGTTTGATATGACACCTTCAGCCATGAAGCTTTTCTTCAATAAGAGGAGGAAGCACAACATTATAGTAGAGGGTTGTGCATAAGGTGCAGCAGAGGAATTGTAATTGTCCATGATTCAATAAAGTTTTAATTCTGCTAAATGTACCCTACAACTGGAGTACTGCTATGTAAATAATCCAAAACTGCAGATCTTAGCCTTCAAAAGGAAGTAAACTTGACAGAAACACGATTCAGCATATTAACTCTTATTTTACTTAGCCATTTAAAGGAAACTGTTACTTCCCAGGATTTTTAATATATTTACTTACCCCTATATTTCATTATTGAGTATTTTTTTTACGTTTGAGGTGTTAAAACTAAAACTTAATGTAGAAATCCACTTCTTTTTTATCTTTCCTCTTTGTGCCCCCATTTTAGCTCCTAGTCAATCATTAGTATAAGCTCTGTCATTTGTTCCTGGCAGTCAGCAGATAGAAAGCATGCAGAAAAGAGGAAACATTAAACAGTTTCTATTTATATCTTTTTCATTTGCAATGTGACTGAGCCTGGACTCCACAGAATTATATTATTTTCAAAATCATTAAAGGGTTACTATAACCCTTTTGAGAGGGGGATCTTTCTGGTGTAATCGCCTTATTGGGCACTGTGACAAAGGGTCCCTGTCAATTCGTTTTAGGCTTTTGCCTAAACAAATGGTGTTTTATAGCTAAAATAACTATTTGTCTAGGGCTAGGCAAAAGCTTTTTTTGCCTGAAATACACAATGGATCCCTGAGATTCAATGAACAAGAAAAGTTTTTTTGTTTTTGTTTTTTTTGTGTCAGTTCTGTGTCATGTTTCTGTTTTAAAAAATAGAAACTTCCTATTTTTATGCTATGACAATACATTTTGCATGTTTATATTTACGGACTACCTAAAATGCCACTCTATGTACTCTATCAACCTTTACTCTGTGCAGAGACTATGGTACAAGCAGCACCATTCTATCCCCGTCTTTTATATATCAATTGCAAAAATTGCAATTGCAAATAAGTAACTTAGAGTTACTAATCTAATATTAGAGTGTTTTATTATATTTCTAGAGGAGGAGACAAACATGGCAGTGCGAGATCAAGGCCTTTTCTACTATCGCCTTTTATCCACTGGCATTGAAGAAGTGAAAAAAGTGTTAAGCAGTCCAAAATCCGACCCATCATTGGGAGTCTTGGAAGACAGAACTGAACAACCAATCAACACCTGGGTATCACGTTTTAACACTCTAGCAACTCTATATGACAAAAAGCACTGGGAATCTCTAAGTGCAACCACGGCCCATTTAGACCTCTCCAGTGTTACGGATCATCTTCTAGCAGGTAGGTTTGTCATACAATGATATTGCTTGTTTTAAATGCATTTAATTAGCATTAGACTTGTGCAATTTATTTCAGAATTAATCGAAATTAGGGAGTTTTAAATTTTTTTATAATTATTTATTTATTTTTGCGTGCATGTGAGTTAGTCGTTTTGTCAATGCCCCAACAGTAATGACAAACATTCGATTATACAAAGCGTAACATATAGAGGCATTCGATTATATAGCACATTTTTAAGAATGATGCGATTAATTGTCGAGGTTATATTTAGGCTATTCTGGTGACCGTACATGTAGTGTAGGCATAGTATACTTGTCAATTTTTGAGCGAAATAGTAAGAATATTTCTGGAGCTGTTGTTACTTGCGACCTGCCAGCATGGCGGTCAGGCCCCGCTCCAATTAGGGAGTTTTGACTAATTCGTAAGTGTCCAAATTTCTGATTCGCCACAAAATGAAAAGAAAACAAATTAATCCATATCGAATTTCTTTATTTATAAAATATTTTACTAGGAAAAATACATTGAGATTTCTCTCGTTTTCAAGTATGTCCTGGGTCCATAAAACATTGCATTGATACAATAGGGTACAATAAAATACAGAAACAATATTAATACACAACATATACAAAATGTAACATAGAACAGGTAGGAATCAGTTTGTTTTGGATCCATTAATTTTGACAAGGATAGCAAATTATGGCATTCTTTACTAAATAATTGAAACAGCAAAGTTAAATAAAAGGGTTGTTTCTTAATTTCTAAGATGTTTAGTAGATAGCTGCCTAGTTTGATATCCTTATGTGCATGTTCCCTTTTAATCATTCTAGATAGTAACCAGATAGTTTAGTATGAGTATGCCATTCATGTTATTTTCATTCCTGTTACAATGAGTGGAACTTGGGAGATTTTATTTGTTGCTTATTTTAATCTGTAAATGCCATTATCTTTAATTACATTTTTATTAAGAATGCTCAGGGCCAGCCCAAGACATTATGCTGCCTGGGACCAATAATGGAACGCTGCTCACTCCCCCCTACTCCCTCCCCCTCCCCCCCACCCTGCTAAAACCACGCTTACCAAAACACACCCACATCCATTAATTTATGCAGTGTGTGTTGTGAATGCAGTGTCTGTGTTTGTGTATTTTATGCAGTGTGTATCATGAATGCATTGTGTATATTTGTGTGGTGGATGCATTGTCTGTGTTTGTGTAGTGGATGCAGTGTCTGTGTATGTGTAGTGGAAGCAGTGTTTATGTTGTGGATGCACTGTGTGTTTGTGTAGTGGATGCACTGTGTGTTTGTGTAGTGGATGCAGTGTATGTGTTGTGTAATGGATGCAGTGTCTGCGTTGTGTAATATATGCAGTCTCTGTGTTTGTGTAGTGGTTGTTGTGTCTGTGTTTGTGTAGTGGAAGCAGTGTGTGTTTGTGTAGAGGATGCAGTGTCTGTGTTTGTGTACTGGACGCAGTGTCTGTAGAGGATGCAGTGTGTGTATTTGTGTACTGGTGTATACTCGATGCAGTGTATGTGTGTTGGTGGTGTGGGCTGTGGGGAGGGGAGCTAATCTTTCATACCCAACAGGATCAGCTTCTCTCCTCTCGCGAGGTACTAGATTGTTTATGCGAGTTGTCATGGCAACGCTCCAGCACGCACCGTGCTGCGCAGAGTGTTGCCAGAGGTGTATATGTTTGTTTGTATATTTGAATGCAAAGGTGTGTGTGCATGAAAAGTTGGGAACGTAATTGTAAAAGTATGTGTATTTGGCACATATCACTCACTCACACACAATTACACTCACAAACACATATAATACCAGCAGACTTCAATAGCAAGCAGTGCCTTTCTTTTTTATTTCTTCTAATTTTCCTGGCCACTGTAGTTTTTATATCCTTACTGCTGTGTGATGTCTTACCTTCATCCAGGTAGCTGGCTGAGCATAATGGAAACCATAGCTAATAACAGCTACAATATAAGTAGTTGCCAATTATTTTCTTATCTGTTACTGATTTTATTATCCATGATTCTCTAGTTCTTTAGTGTGCCTGGGAATTATGTGAAATCTAACCAAAATGCATTCATCTTCTATCTGTGCAATTAATTTTCCATGACTCTCAGCCATCCATCAGGCACGCTCGCCAAGCATCAAGAGAAACATGGTCCAGAACAGCTACAGTAACATAAGTTATATGTGTGCTTGTTTTTTTTATTATAAATAAACTATATATTAAGACCTATTGCCCTGATTTAATATTGTAGGTAAACTTTTCAAAAGATTTAATTTTTTTTTTTTTATAAGTCTAAAAATATTTATTATATATGATATATTTTTGATATTTTTTTTTTTATTTTGAAAATAATAGTTTACAAGTTTATCCAAACATTTTAAATAATTTGAAAAGCAAAGGCAACCTTATTAAATTGAGGTCTAGATCTGAAAAATTTAAATTTGTCTAGCTCTTAACTTGTAGCCCTGTTCATAGCTTCTAGTAAAATCGGTAAATATTACTATTTTACTGTGAGTAATTTGAAGAACATAAAAGTAATATTGTTTTGATGAAGAGCACTTTGTGTTTTATAGTGGAACTTACTTCTGTGGTGGATGCTGGAGAATTGCAAGATCACCATGAACCTTTTAGTCTGATGAGTGACATTGTTGTAACTCCAGAGCAGTTTGAGAAAAAATGGATTTCAGAGGATGCAGTGTGTGACTTGGATATTGACTGGAAAGAAGGTGTTCTACCAGACACAGTGCAAACATCTTTACAAATGATGCAAATCTACACAATTGCCAAGAGCAAACCTGGTACCCAGCCATGGAAATCCTACATCTATGCTCAGGACAATAAGGACAATTTATTTCTTGCAGAATTAATGCTTAATACTGATTTGCCTACCCTGCAGACTTCTGTGAAGACAAGCACAGGGGATGAAGAAGCACTAAATAGCTTTATAGCTCTTTTAAAATCTGCAGTTGCAACATTCTTGGATCTTTCCAGGTGATGAATATAAAAGACTGAGCTACACTTGATTTAAGAACATGTGCATATAGAGCTTAGTATCTACTTTGTGTTAGTTGCAGAATGCTACATTCCCATAGAATTCCAATTACTGGAGAAAATAGTGGCCTTGTGAAAGTGTTACTTGCAAGCCATCTATTATCCAAAGTCTATGGCTTTCCAGTATACTTTCCCCTGTTATGATATTCAGCTGCAGCACAAGGACTTGGCAATCTATCAAAACGTATACAGTTTTCTGTATTTGTAGATCACCCTATACAAGCTATGACTGAGGCAAATGAGACTTGCATCAGCCAGATATCCTAGGTTGCCGAATCCTAGCAAGAAAAATACTTATTGCTGTCAATTAAAGTTTTAAAATGGAAAAAGAACCCTGAATTTCTTTACTCATATAATTGAATGTATAAAAATAAATCACTGCAAATACACTGATATTTGACAAGTTATTTAAAATGAATATATTGTTTTATTTTTCTGTCATTCTAAAGATAGCATTTTTTGGCAGGTGGGTGGATGGAGGGGGGAGTGGATCGAGAAGTCTAGACAGAGGTTTGTATCCATAACCACTATTTTAATATTATTCCACTTCGGTTTCACAATGGAATTACGTCAACAAATATCTAAAAATAAAATAAAAATGAACATTATATACGTGAGTATGCTGGACATTAATATTATTGTGAACATAAAAGTAGCCTAAATGATTGCATAAAATCAGATTTTCTTACTAAGCAATTAACTCTCTCAAACTGAATTGGTGTGAGATGTTACCAGGGAAATCATAAAAAATCATGACTGAGTGGTGGATCCTTTTAGTATTATTTTTATGCACTCCATAAATTATATAAAATTGTTCATCCTCAGTGGCAAGAATTGGTTATACACAGTAGGTATTTCTCACCATACATATGTCAGGTGTTACTTATTTGTGTAGAATGTATATTGAACTTTTGTACACAAATATCTCTTGTGATGGAGTTACTGATTGCATGTCCTGAGTCTAGGACAAATTTTAAAATGTATGCCTCACTCTGTATTTTGCTATAAATGTTACTTTTTTTGTTTTGAATAATTTGAAGGGGTTAAAACTCCATCAGCCACTTACCTAAATCCAGCGCCGATGTCCCTCGGCGCTGGGTCAGGCACCGCCCATGCTTCTCCCCCGCCAACGTTATTATTCAATGCTTTCCTATAGGGAAAATTTGACGCTGGAGGTCAATGAGGACGTCCAGCGTCAGATAACAAACCAAAAATCTGTTTAGATTCCGGAAGCCTTCTAGTGGCTGTCTGTTAGACAGCCACAAAGGGCAGACTTAGAGCAGCAAGCACCCAAACCACTTCAGTTAGATGAAGTGGTCTGGGTGCCTACGGTGTCCCTTTAATATTCATTAGAATTTGTAAATAAATACATAATTTCAAGCTCTACTTTCAGATAAAATGCATTGCAGTAGAGACTTATATGGCTCACAGTTTTGCCGATTTACATCTAGTTAATCATGAGGAGTCATTTTATTTTATTTATTTAATTCATGATGGCATAAACAATTTGACAATAATTTTCAATACCAAGATGTGGTATGGAGGATAAATTAACTTTTTTTTATGTTACTTCTAACTTTGAGAGGCTTAAAATTTACTTTAGAATATGATCTCTATCAAACTAATTTTCTGAACATGTCGTTAAACTGAAAAAGTGAGATATCACATTTATGGTTATATAAGAAACTTATTGCTGTGAAGTCTTTGCTACATAACACTTCCTGTTACTCTCTTCTATTAACCCCTTAAGAACCGCGGACGGTTCAGGACCGTCATCGGCATTTTCCCATTGCCGACCGCTGATGGTCCTGAACCATCCTAACGGTCAGATGTACTTACCTGATCGCCGTCATTCCCCTGGCGGCGATCGGTGTTGCTCCCGGTGTGGGGAGACTGCCTGCAGCCCAGACAGTCTCCCCACACTGGATTAGGACCCCTGTGGCCATGTGATCACTCACAACAGAGCGATCACATGGTCACAATAGATGTCCATGTGTCTGCCTTCAGGGGGACTGCCTGTGCTGACAGGCAGTCTCCCTGCAACTGTAAAATCATTAAAAAAAAATAAAGTTAGTGTTAATTAAAAAAAATATATTATATAATTGTATGTGTATGTGTGTATGTATATATATATATATATATATATAATATATGTCTATATATCATATATATAATGTCATACCAAGTGTATTTTATATTAATATGTACATATATTAATATAAAAATACTTATAATTAAATTACACACGTGTATATATATATAATATATATAATAACTATATATATTGTATATATATATATTATAAAATACAAATAATAAGTAATTTAAATTAAAAAATTAAAAAATAATAAAAAAATTTAAACAAATTATATATCTATATGAAATTTTATTCTAACTGTATTTTGATATTAATATATATATATATTTATATCAAAATACACTTAGAATGAATTTGTATATATATCTATGTACATATAAATAAATAGAAATAATACGAAATATACATATGTCCATATACATAATTACATAAATAATTATCTAAATATACACGTAGACTTCAAATATATAAATATGCATATATATTTAAATTCTACGTGCGTATTTATGTAATATTTTCACATAAGTAATTTTATTGATTACAATTTGAGGGACCTAAAGAAACAAATATTAGTGATTCAAAACTGGAAAACGTATCACAACAATTATATCATCAGTAAAAGTGCAGTTTGTGTGTGAAAAATGCAAAAAACTTCACTTTCACTGACAATATCATCGCTGTGATATGTTTTACTATTTTGAATCTCTAATATTTGTGTTCAGCGAAGTCTCCCGAGTAAATCAGTACCCCCCATGTACAGGTTTTAGGGTGTCGTAGAACGTTAAAGGGTAAAATACAGTGGTAGCAAATTAAATTCTCTGGACTTTCGGCCTGGGTTGGCAGGCAGGTCTCTCAAATTTATAGATAGGGAAAAAAACAGAATAAGGGACAGCGCTAGTAGGCCACAGAGAATATAAAGAGAGTGTAGGCAGCACACCTATAGGTAGAGGGGTCCCCTCTTCTCCCCTCAAAATGAATATGATGAAAAGAATAACAAAAAGAAAGGGTGCGCCTTCAGAAAATAATATTATTATAATAATGGTATATACGACATATGTAATAAAATATAATAAATAAATAAATAAATAAATAGATAAAAAATAGTCCAAATGACTTAACACTGATCCATACAAGTTTGTCCGCCAACAGTGGAAAAAGTTCTTATAAAGACAACTTATGGAGTGGATGGTCGCAGATGGAGGCTTGTGATCCGGTGGAATATATGAAAAAAACAGAAGAAAGAGAACTCAAATGGTACAGAATATATGGAAATTAGGTGCTTGGAAGTAATTATGAACTACTCACAATGTTAAGAGCTAAATCCAGCTCTGGTATGAATAACGTGAAGTGGAACAATCCCCACTCAAGGATATGCAGGGTATGTAGAATTTTTCTTCCAGGAGTGCAGGGCTTTTCAGGTCACTCAGTATGGAGTTGTATACCCAAAAGAAAAGGGATAATAGAATATAGTGCTCACTGTAAATGTGAAAGGTGAACAAAATTAAATGAAATGTACTTACAATATACCGAGCAGACTCACTGCTCGGTGGGTAGCGTATGGGTGGTATATTGCCCACCTAGGGATTCTTTGCTTCTTAAATGTCAAATAGAAAACATATATAGATAAAAATAAATATAGATAAAATTAAAAATAAATTAGAATAGAATGAAGTAAAAACAATGATGTCAGGTCAAGTATATAAAATAAAGTGTAAAATAATAAAGGAATATGGCAATAATAATATGGAGCCAAAAAATTCCTTTATTTATGGTGACAGCTGGACATGTCAATTACATTGTTAGTACACACTTTTTTAAAAAAGGTTTTGGTATTTACTTGGTTATTTTGAATAAAAATTTCCAAATCTAAAAAATGAATAAAAGATTGGCTGTATTCCCATGTTAAAACAATGCCATAATTATTACAAATTAAATGTTGTAAAAAACGGTTAAGAGAATTTTCAGAACCCTCCCAGATAAAAAAACATATCGTCTATATATCTAAAATATGAGACCAGGTTTGCCTGCCAGTCATGCTCTCCTAAGATAGCTATGGATTCCCATTCTGCCATGAAGAGATTGGCATAACTGGGGGCAAACCTAGTTCCCATAGTAGTCCCTTGTTTTTGTAGATAAAATGAGTCTAGAAACCAAAAATAATTATGTTTTAAAATTATGTTAATCCCTTGAATAATAAAGTTAATTTGGTGATCTGAGATTTTGTTTTCAGCCCTGACTGTGTGTTTTTTAGTGCGGTTGTCACAGGGCTCCTCCCCCGCGATGACGCAATGTATTCTGACACCAGCTGACGGCACTCCCCCCTTCTCCTTCCTTATGATCGATGCATCTCACTACACATAGACGTATGCAGTCCAAAAGAATACCACGTGACGCGGAAGTATTTAGCCGCGAGTCACGTGATTTCTTTTAACTTATGATTTCATGTATTTATAATCCTCGTTTTTAAGTTCCAATGTTATGTATCATTCCCTATTACATATAAGAACAGCCTTTATGTATTTAATTTCAATTGTATTGACGTAATTATGTATATATTTAACATGTTAAAGTGATGACGTCATTTTGGCAGGATTTTTGAAAATGGCATTTTAACTACTGTTCCTATATAAATCACTGTTTGTTAGGTCTATGCTCTTTTAATATATCACTTTCTACTTGAAGAAGCCCATGTGGCGAAACGCGTCTGGAAACTTTTTTACTTTGTTATAATAAAGGCATTTTTTGGCTCCATATTATTATTGCCATATTCCTTTTATTATTTTACACTTTATTTTATATACTTGACCTGACATCATTGTTTTTACTTCATTCTATTCTAAATTATTTTTAATTTTATCTATATTTATTTTTATTTTTATCTATATATTTTTTCTATTTGACATCTAAAAGTGAGCACTATATTATATTATCCCTTTTCTTTTGGGTATACTACTCCACCATACTGAGTGACCTGAAAAGCCCTGCACTCCTGGAAATTAAAGAAAATTCTACATACCCTGCATATCCTTGAATGGGGATTGTTCCACTTCACGTTATTCATACCTGAACTGGATTTAGTTCTTAACATTGTGAGTAGTTCATAATTACTTCCAAGCACCTAATTTCCATTTATACTGTACCATTGGAGTTCTCTTTCTTCTGTTTTTTTTCATATATTCCACCGGATCACAAGCCTCCATCTGCGACCATCCACTCCATAAGTTGGCTTTATAAGAACTTTTTCCACTGTTGGCGGACAACCTTGTATGGATCAGTGTTAAGTCATTTGGACTATTTTTTATCTATTTATTTATTTATTATATTTTATTACATATGTCGTATAGACCATTATTATAATAATATTATTTTCTGAAGGCGCACCCTTTCTTTTTGTTATTCTTTTCATCCTATTCATTTTGAGGGGATAAGAGGGGACCCCATTACCTATAGGTGTGCTGCCTACACTCTCTTTATATTCTCTGTGGCCTACTAGCGCTGTCCCTTATTCTGTTTTTTTCCATATCTATAAATTTGAGGGACCTGCCTGCCAACCCAGGC